TTGCCAGGGAAATTTTTTTTTTTTTTAACCCCCCCCCCCCCCTTCTTCAGGACATTCCAAATGCTTGAGCATGCGATGACCAGTGTTTGTGAAATGGCTCAATTTGACTTTTCATTCCCATTCCATCCAAGGGTGGAGCCAAAGGTGGCCGCGGTCACCCCTGTTCACTCTCCGTCCAACCCCTTGGCCACCCCCGCTTAGCTAATCGCTGCTCTGAGATCGAAGCTAACTCTGTGAGAGTTTTACAAAAGCAAAGCAACTGCAAAAAAAAAAGGCATTCTGTTGTAAATCAGCTAAATATTGCCGTTCACTTGGATGAGATCCTGCTTGTGAATGTGTTGGGCAACGTTCCTCATATTTAATTTCATGAAGCCCTCACTGTGGATACTATGATAAACAATGACTTCTCGGTTAAAGTGGGCATTGCATGCAAGTGAATGAACCCCACTGATTTTTTTTTTTTTTTAACCCCTGATTGCATCTAATTTCACTTTAAGAATTTTTTTTGTTCATCATCAAACAAAAGTATTGATCTCCTGTTTCAGATTTGGTATTTTAATGAAAACCAATGCAACAAAAATGAAGGAACTGGCCTCACTGTTTCAAGTGGATCTGGTTTTGTGTGTGCGTGTGCGTGCATGTCAACCAGTACCTTTCATTGCATGATTTATTTGCATCTCATGACAATGTGCTGAGTTTGTCCTCGCAAAGAGATCTCCACATTAGGAAATGTGCATAAGTATCCAATTAGCGTGAGTGACAAGATGCAAAACCTTGCCTTTTATCCTCCACATCGGCCGTGTGCGAACTCGCTTCTTTGGATGAAGCCGGGAATTCTCTGCACGCAAACTCCTTTCTTTCAGGCTCGCCGGCGTCTGTCATCGCACAGCCCCGATGTCAGCGTGATCAACATGATTGGTGCACCAACTTTCTGTCGTTTCCATCATTTGCTTAAGACACAACTTGGGGAAGTGGAGCGGGAGCGCACCAAACGTCATCTGGTTCTCGTTTACAGGGCTAGCCAGTGTCCTTTCTTTGAAAAGAAGTCATTCATCATCTAATTGTTAAAAGTTTGTTCGGTGAAGCAATATTTGTGTGTGAACAATTGTCGAATCGTAAAATATCTTGCTCGAAGTGTGTTGCTGCGTTCAACTTCAGTTTCTACTATGAGAGTAGAAAAAAACTCACAATTCCTATGATGATATTGTGCTGCGCAATTTTCCTGTGGTTGTCGTGTCGTGCGGCGTCGGTCAGGCCATCCTTTTGACCCACTTCGCTGAATTTGATGTTATTCCCACAAACATGTCCGAGCTCTTCTTGAGCCATAAGAGAGTATGTCACTTCAAAAAAATTTAGACTTTTTTTCTTTAACTTCAAATATTGCACAGGCAAAAATGTCAAGTTGAATATAAATGTAAACAGCGTCAATGAGTTTTTCTACTGGTTCTCGATTCTCTGACAGTTTGGACGATGGCATTTTTTTAATTGAAGGTTGATTTTTTTTTTTTTTTGTTTTTTTTAATAAGTGCTTCTTGATCTGTTTGAAACCTAAACAAATGATTCCAGTCACAGAGCAAACACAATAACATTTACATTCTTTCGACTTGGCTGCCTGGTCTCTCGACATTGGTCAATGATGTGTGTCATCTCAAGTGTAATGCATCACGAACGTCTTGGGCGAGCACACGTAGATGCTTTCGATCCAGGATTGTCTAGCACGCAAACACACTCACTCACACACGCACGCACACACACACCGCTTGCATGTGTCGAGCATTTCTCGACAGGCAGACTTGGAGTGTGTGCAAGGAGGGAATTCCTTGGCCCGCGCGCCCTTTCAAAGCTGCACATGTGCTCCACATATGCGCCAAAGTGCAAGAAAAGACAGTGACAGTCTGATCACGCACACGCGCAAAACATTCCTCTTTGCTCTTCAGCTTTGTCCTTCTAACCTCCAATCACCTCCCTTTGAGCCTCCAAGGAGCTGCCGTTAAAAGCCCGCCGCGCTCCCGAGCCAGACTCATCTCGGGTTGCTCTTTTGTCCTGCTGCCGACGCCACGTTCCTCCTCCTCCTCCTCTCTTTCAGCGGCGCGACCACCTTTGGGCCGGCGCGCGCGCATCCCTCTGCTTCTGGTTGATTGTGCAAGCGTGCGTGTGACTGCGTGCGTGTTGATCAGGGCCCGCAAACATTGCGTGTGTGCTGCGCCCCATAGACAAGCGCAAACACATGCACTGCGGTCGCACTCCATTGAGCTTTGGAATCAAAGCGGATTGTTTGCCAGGACACATGCGTTGCATTTGTCTCCGAAGGCAAGGATGGAGATATGATTTGGTTCATTAGATCGTCAATTACAGCTAGCCCAGTGATAGTATTTTCGAGAGGCAACATACACACTACATACAGGGTAGTGTGCTAAATAGCACCTGTTACGTGCTTTTACACTCCGCATTATTTTTATTTATTTATTTATTATTTTTTTTTTTCATTGAAGGGCAATTTTTCGTGAACATATCCAATTGTAGGAGGTTGCAAAGTTGATTTATTTATTTTTGGGGGGCGGCAGCGGCGAGTTGCCTTAGTTTTAATGCGGTTTGTTAAAAAATGTAAAATGTGAGTATAATATCTAAAATAGAATCCCTCAAACTCAAAATTTAATGCTCTGCAATGGGCCGGTGACTGGTCCATGATTTACCCCCCCCCCCCCCCCCCCCACCCCCTCAAAGTGAGTTCTGTTGACTGACTCACCCATGATCTGAATGACGACAAGCACGAGACGAAAGGATTAAATTCTTTCAAATATGATTGGCACCCTAAAATGGTTAAAAAAAAAAATCACAAAACCGGTCATGAAAATCTGAATTCCCTGTATGATAGCGACATCCAATGTTTGCTCACACAGTATTTGCATGCAGCTTTATTGCCAAGTTCTTCAGATCTCTTCCAGTCAGATTGTAGTTTTGTCATGCTTGTTCATGATCATCATACCCCGACTGATCATTTTTATTCAGTCATTGATTTTTAAAGAGCGTTGACTAGCCTTGACTAGGTCACTTGCACAGTGAGCTCCAATTCCAATGAAATGTATTGCATTCTAACGCTCTCTCTCTCTCTCTCTCTCTCTCTCTCTCTCTCTCTCTCTCTCTCTCTCTCTCTCTCTCTCGTTTTCTCTTCCCCTCGTAGAATGTTGGAGTATTCCCTCAACCTGCAGAATGTCAGTTTTTCGGCAGTGAGGACGGTTCGGGTGTTGAGGCCACTGAGGGCCATCAACCGGGTGCCAAGTAAGTGATGGTCAAAAAAAACAAAGCAATAAAATGACGACCCATAAATGTTTAAAACGTTGGAAGAATGATTGGAATGTCACGATGTGGAAACAATGGTGACTTTTTTTAAAAACACAGGTGTGTATGTATGTATGTATGTATGTTCGTATGTATATACATATCGATGTAATTTACCTTTCTTGGTTTTGCAGTTGTGAGGTTGGACATATTTATGTGCAATTTTCCAACTCACTACCCATTTTATTAAGAGACAGAATTAATTCACAGCTGCTACACACACACACACACACACACACACACACACACACACACACTATTGCACTTGTTCCAAGTGGTAAAAATGCATAACCCCTCCGCTATCCTATTCCTCACGCTTACGCGAACATGATTAGCATGCGGAAAAAAAAAAAGCCCCCAAACATTCACATTCCTCTGCCCTTTCTGTCAGCATTTCTCATTAAGAGTGAAATGGGGACAGATTAAATTTCCACTCCATTAATGTTTAAATAATATATTTTTTTAAATTGTACCTAGCCAGCGTTGCACCTATTCCATTTTAATTTGACCTTTCACATTTTTATTTCAATGCACGTCATTAATTGGATTTATGTTTTGTTGTTATTTTGTTATCATTTCGAAATCACAGTTTTTGGCAATTAATAACAGCTACTAAAAAAGTGTTCCACATTATTTGGAACACATGATATTAAAAAAAAAAAAGTATGTCATGTTAGGAACAATTAATTTATTGCTTGCACTGTTTAGCATCTTCTCAAGTTTGACTTTGGTATCCTAAAAGGCTCCCAGTTCTGTTGTGTAGCCCATCCTCGTTAACGTCTTTCAATTTTTGGAGTTTTTCAGTCCTGCTACCTTGCTATCAATTCCGAGCACCCATCAATCATCTGTGAGCTGTCTCCGCTGGCAAACAGGCATTGTATATGCGATTAAAATAAACCACCCGCGTAATAATCACAGTTAGACAAGCATCAAATAAATGCGCACTGCAGTAGCTGCGTCTTAATAAGTGCAGGCGCAGTGATGTGTGCCAGATATTTATGGCCCCATCTTAATGTTTGGATGTAAAACAGCCCGTTGATAGATAGCTAAAGATGCACTCTTGACAGAACAACACTCCACCTCGGATGATGAAGAGCCCGTAGCAAGTTAGCTGCGTCATTTTACAGTCCACGCTGCCAGCATTTGCTTGAATTAATTGTTGTATTTATTTTTGACACTTACTTCTGATGTACACAGAAGATCACCAAATTTATTTGCTCATTTGGGTTGCGTTGTCACCTTAGCGAAGGAACCGCATTGTAAACCGAGACGTCCTTTTCTGACGTCCTCGTTTTCATTTGAACCAGCGAACTGAAAACGAGGACGAACGAAATTCGAGTGACATCGAAGCGCGTTTGTGAGTACAACAATGAAATTCTAATGCCGTGTTATTTCATGAGGGAGGAAAGAGTACTTTTGGGGAGGTGGTTCATGTTGACCTAAGCAGCGCTGATTTCTGGTGGCCATCAAAGAGATAATTATGACTCGACACCAATGCGCATCTTTGTGTGATGATCCTGCGCCCGGAATAGACTCATTGCTTGGTCACGATGTTTGCCCTTTGCCCAAAGCCTTATTAATCACAACCATGGGTATGTTTTCCCCTCATGCTCAAACCACAAATCACCCTATTATCACATTTTACTCCACTCATTTGTTTAGAATACACGCGGACAATAATTGCTTGGTTAATGCACGTGGACTTCCATCCAGATAATCTCCCGAAGACGGCAACGTCTGCCTCCCCCCGGCTTCCACCGCGCTGATAAAACCTTCCGCCTTTTGCCACACTGATCGCTTTCCCTCCAGTGCTGGAATTAAAGAGTTTGCGAGAAGCGCCAACTGTAACCTGCTCGGAGGTTGCCGCGGGGGCTTTCACGCTAGGCCGAAATCACTTCTTGACTTCAGTTCTCGTGACTTCAATCGAACGGACGGAGAGTCGGGCTTCTTATTTGAAGGCGGAAGATAGTCGCCAGTGGATCCGAGCAATCACATGAACGGCGTAATCCCGCTATTTTGAAAACTGCTGGAAGATTTGATTCAACATTTCCTGGACGAGGAACACACTCCTCGGCTCGTGTTAGCTTGAATGTAATCGCTTTTTCTGAAAATAAATATATGAATGCATCGCACAAAACATTCAACACATTTGAGTGTGATGTGAGGACTAACATTGATCTTTCCATTCATTTTTTTTTTTTTGTTCCACTCGATGTCGCGGCTTTGGTTTTTTTGACTCTTTTCTAAAGCCGCTACGCTTCCCCTGAATTCCTCTGCCCCCCCCCCGCCCCCCCACTCCAAACCTTTCCCCTCGCCCACCTAACGGAAGGCATACATCACACTTCGAAAAACGCTGCCGTGCACCGTCATCGCAATGCATGCAAATATTTGACGTCCTCATCCCCCCCAGCCTTGGTTGAAATCATTCCAAACCGCAATCACTGTGATGAAAACATTTTCCAAAAGCACTTAGCTCCTCTGTCCATCTTACGGCCATGGTCAAGATCAATAAAAATTGATTTGGGGCGTATCACATAACCAACTACGGGGTCACTGAGTGCCCCTTCGCCATTGGGGGGGAAAAAAAAAAGCCATTTCAAAAAGGAAAGCATGATGAGAACAGCTTTCAACAGCGTCACTTGTACCTGTGTAATACAGCCATTCATTAATTTATATTATCATATTCTTTTCATAAAAAAAGCCTTGATCATAGGATTAACTTGCAAAAAAAATAATAATCATAAGGTTTCTTATTGTAAGTCACTCATTGTTCCATTATATGTAGCTCCATATTCAAAATTAGCTTCATCTGACAATCCCATCACTTTGTGTCAGCGGGAAAGAAAATCCTCCTGAGGTCTATTGTGAAAATGGTGATAAATTAACGGTGTGTCAGAGGTAGAGGAGACTGTTTCAGATTGTTTTGTGTTCCTGATTTGTGCTCATGTTTTATTGAAAGTGATATTCTGAAAGGATTTCCATGTACTCAATCCATGTACCAAGTTCCGTTAAAATTGGCCAGAAGTAGCCACGGTGCAGCCGGAAGGATGGTGATTTTGGTCGAAAATACATTTAGAAGTTTGAGGAAGACAAACCTTGACATTCTTCTGTATGACGATTGTCACCTTCCGTCCATTTCTACTCAATGGCTTCTTAAAAAAAAAAAAAAAAAAAAAAAACACTGATCAGAACATGATCCTCATTTCTAATGTCAGTTTCCTGCGAGGAAGGAGGCAGCCTACAGGGATAGAAACACTTCCGGGTACTTAAAAAGAGACAGATTCAGAGAAAGACAAAATGGAGTGCATGTCAAACGAGAAAAAGGGGAATTCCAAGGCAATAAGAACGAAAAATGTTCCGATAATGTGGGCCTGAGCTGCGATTCGAGTGGTTCGACCAAATTTAGCAAAGAGGTGCATGTGGGCAGCAAACGAAGAGTGTGTGTGTTGTCAGGAGCGAGCGCACACTGTGCAGAGCTGTCAGAGATGCATTGTGCTCAAGGCAGATTCCAGTCTAGAGCACTGTGTTTAAATTCTTTTGTTAGTACCGGTACATTAGTCACAGCCAAAAAAAAACAAAACAAAACAAAAAACGTACAGTTTCATTTTGCAACTACCGTACGTCCCCCCCCCCCATTGAACATTTTTTGAGTAGATATAGAAAAGTATTGTATTCTTAATATTATATATAAAAACACATGATGTAACCCTTTCATGGACAAATAATGCAGGTATGCCAACCGAAGTTTCAAGTCTCAAGTGTTCAAAAACAACCGTGAAAAAGCTGTCAATTGTGCTCAGGAACGGATTAGGGCATTTACATGGAAAAGGCGTCTCGACTTACAAATTTTTCGAGTGAAGAAATTTCTTCCAGAACCAATTCATTTCGTAAGTCGAGTTACCACCGCACATGAAAGGAGATCTCACCTGTTTGCCTCTTGTCAGGTATGCGTATCCTGGTGACCTTGCTGCTCGACACTCTGCCCATGCTTGGGAACGTGCTGTTGCTCTGCTTCTTTGTCTTCTTCATATTTGGCATCGTGGGAGTCCAGCTGTGGGCCGGCCTGCTCCGAAATCGCTGCTTTGTGGAGGACAACTTCTCGTTGTAAGTTTTTTTTTTTTTTGAACACAAATAAATGTCATTTCGGCTTCTTATTCTACCGACAACTACTCGCCAGTAAATTGACACATGCGCGACATTTGGAAGTCGTAACATCCTTGCAATTATTGGGACACAAATTAAAAAAAAACAAAAAAACAGATTGATCAGATTAAAGCTGTTTCACCATACACAACGCTCTTAAATAAAACATGCGGTTAGTTTTATTGTAGCACCACAATTCGATTTGCCGAGCCAGTGTAATTACTGTGGTGACACGCTTGAATGAAAAGGAGAGATCTTTTTTAATCGTCTCAGTGGGGCATTGCAAAATTGGCCTCTGGTATTGGACATGTTGATCCACTCTGTCACAGGTGCACAGGCTGACTGGATTTATATGTTCATTATTATTATTATTATGACTATTACTGGGATGAAATGAAATCAGATGAGTTGGCTAATCCACAGTGGATCAATGAGGTTGAAATTCGTCAATGTTATGGCATGACATATTATAATTGGGGTCGATTTAGGTCTTTAGCTGGGGGGAAAAAAAAAATTAAAGTCCACAATTTGATATTTAGGATGTTGACATCTCACGATAGCCATGTAAAGGCTTAAAGGCGGAGCTTTACAATATTACAGTATTGATTGCATTCAGCGTAACAACGAACACACCAATCAGTCAAACAAAAAAAAAAAAATCTGAGAAAGCAAATAGTATGTCTCGTTCAGGTCGCACATCTGACGTCCTTGAGGCATCGGAAAAACGTGCATGTGCAGCACCGAAAGTCTCCGTGACCAGTCTGTGACCATCTAAAGCGATGGAACCGCGCAAATGTCACGCAAGCATCAAGTGCGCGGTTTTGCCCACTTTTTCACCGTCGTCCACCCAAAGAGGTGGCTGGTTGTTGAGTGACGCTTTCCATTTTGCAGCAGTACCAATGTAGATGTATGTTTTGGGTTACATTTTAAAAGCTAATTAAGCACCTGTATATGTATCACTTACTATAATAATTTTATATTACTTCATTAGGATCATTTGTTTTCTATTTGATATTAAGTCAGTATGTATTTGTCAAGACCAGATCAAAATTCTTTTGAAGCTACTTCTGGACTGGTTAATTAGTCTCCCGGGTTTCTTTGAACTTAAATTTGCCTGAGCTTTTGCTGGTTCCACTGCCCAACTTCAACATCGGCCTGTTTCCAACCATTTTTCCCCCCGTATCAATCATCCTTGATATTTTTAACAAAGATTAAAATGTCAGAAAAAAAAAAAAATTAGAGAATTTGTTGACCCCTGAGGTGCCACTAATCAATAAAATGTGCTCTCATTTATCCCCAGCCCTCTGTCTGTGGAGCTCGAGAAATACTACCACACTGAAAACGACGACGAGAATCCCTTTATCTGCTCTCAGCCCCGAGAGAACGGCATGAGGGACTGTAGCTCAGTGCCCAAGCTCTACGACGAAGCCGATCTGCAGTGCAATCTCGACATGTACTCGTACAACAGCACCGATAACACCACCTGTGTGAACTGGAACCAGTACTACAGCAACTGCTCTGCCGGTCTGGTGAACCCTTTCAAAGGGGCGATCAACTTTGACAACATCTGCTACGCCTGGATTGCCATTTTCCAGGTAAGAGCTAAATCGGGGAAATACAAGTTGCCTGAATTTCAGACGGGGCATCAATCGAATGGGTTTCATGAAGCGGATGAGATGGAAACAAAGAGGCGATTAAAAAAAAAAAAAAAAAAAAAAAGGAAGGCCAATTGTCTTGTAGCAGATGGCGTTGAAATATGGTTTGACGCGATTACCCGGACATGACACCCACAGCCTCAATTTTCCACCCCATTTGTTAGCTATCTCCACATCATCTGCAAACCTTTTGTCTGTTCTCATACATTTCTCTCAAGCGGGGAGTGTCACGTTTGGAGAAACAAAAGCCAGATTGGGGATTAGTTTCTCCCACTGGTGGGACTGTTATGCGAGTTTTCCTCTGTGTGGTGAAGCATGCACGAAAGAAACTGTGGGTGGGTGGGGGGGTGGATTAGATTTATGCTTGATTTTAAGAGAGTTGAGTGCTTAGTCACCTCCCAGCAGGAAGGTCCTGGGTTGAAATCTCGACTTCTGTCATCCTGAGGGCAATTTCTGTGCGGGTTCTCTCTGGGTACTCCAGATTACAGTGAAACTCCTCTACAACGAAATCATGTTTGCAGCAAGAAATTTTTCACAACAGGGGGTTTTTCACTGGAGCAAATTTGATCTCGGATGTAAACACACACACATACACACAAACGTATGTGTACTCTTTATTTTTATTCCAATAGTGCCTAAGTATGAGCATACACTTATTTGACACTTCATATAGTCAGTGTAGAAAGAAAAGGGAAAGAAATTGCAAAATTTACGATCAGCATTCACTTTCACCGACATCAATTTTATTTTGCTTCCTCCGTCTTTCATTTTGACCACTTTTACCCTCTCTTCTAGCGTCAGAGCTCTTCTTGTCCTAGCTGCTTGACATCCAAAGGTCCGTTTTGTAGCCATTTTAGCAATGCAACGTTCTTGCTGCGTCTGAAACGAACAATAACAAATACTTTCTGGACTATTGTGCATGTGTAAACCAGTGTGGTGGATGTTGTTGCCCTTTCCGAACGAAGCAGTAGAGGTCGCTGTTGGATTAGACTTCGTTGTAGTGAATCTCGTTGCGAGGCAAGAGCAGAGAAAAATATTTCTTATAACGCAACAGGGTTTTTTTCGTTGTATGGGGGGCAGGAAAGTGGGAATGGTGTTAATGCAATTACCCGGACATGACACCCACAGCCTCAATTTTCCACCCCATTTGTTAGCTATCTCCACATCATCTGCAAACCTTTTGTCTGTTCTCATACATTTCTCTCAAGCGGGGAGTGTCACGTTTGGAGAAACAAAAGCCAGATTGGGGATTAGTTTCTCCCACTGGTGGGACTGTTATGCGAGTTTTCCTCTGTGTGGTGAAGCATGCACGAAAGAAACTGTGGGTGGGTGGGGGGGTGGATTAGATTTATGCTTGATTTTAAGAGAGTTGAGTGCTTAGTCACCTCCCAGCAGGAAGGTCCTGGGTTGAAATCTCGACTTCTGTCATCCTGAGGGCAATTTCTGTGCGGGTTCTCTCTGGGTACTCCAGATTACAGTGAAACTCCTCTACAACGAAATCATGTTTGCAGCAAGAAATTTTTCACAACAGGGGGTTTTTCACTGGAGCAAATTTGATCTCGGATGTAAACACACACACATACACACAAACGTATGTGTACTCTTTATTTTTATTCCAATAGTGCCTAAGTATGAGCATACACTTATTTGACACTTCATATAGTCAGTGTAGAAAGAAAAGGGAAAGAAATTGCAAAATTTACGATCAGCATTCACTTTCACCGACATCAATTTTATTTTGCTTCCTCCGTCTTTCATTTTGACCACTTTTACCCTCTCTTCTAGCGTCAGAGCTCTTCTTGTCCTAGCTGCTTGACATCCAAAGGTCCGTTTTGTAGCCATTTTAGCAATGCAACGTTCTTGCTGCGTCTGAAACGAACAATAACAAATACTTTCTGGACTATTGTGCATGTGTAAACCAGTGTGGTGGATGTTGTTGCCCTTTCCGAACGAAGCAGTAGAGGTCGCTGTTGGATTAGACTTCGTTGTAGTGAATCTCGTTGCGAGGCAAGAGCAGAGAAAAATATTTCTTATAACGCAACAGGGTTTTTTTCGTTGTATGGGGGGCAGGAAAGTGGGAATGGTGTTAATGCATGAAGATTTTTTCACACTAGGAGGTATTTTCGACCATGTAGGTTTCGTTGTAGAGGAGTTTCGCTGTACCCTCCAAATCCAAACACATGTATGTTACCTTCATGTAAGGCTTTAAATTTAAAGTTGGAAAAGTGAATGTAACTGCTGATGTGTTCCAATGCGGCACAAAGTCGAACTGGTCCGCCATCACAACACACCGTTGAAAAAAATTGCAAGTCTGCATCTCCACTGGATGTTTTTGGTTGTCTGTTGCTCCTCAGGTGATCACTCTGGAGGGCTGGGTGGATATCATGTATTTTGTGATGGATTCTCACTCTTTCTACAACTTCATCTACTTCATCTTACTAATTATCGTAAGTGCGTCCCCGCTGAGCGTCGCGGTTCAGGTTCTTCTGCTATTGGACGACTCGGATAACGACTCTTCCCTGTCCTTAGATTGGCTCGTTCTTCATGATCAATCTCTGCCTGGTAGTCATTGCCACTCAGTTCTCTGAAACCAAGCAGCGAGAGAGTCAGCTGATGAAGGAGCAGAGGGTACGCTTCATGTCCAACGCCAGCACCTTGGCCTCTCTCTCGGAGCCGGGTTCCTGCTACGATGAGCTGCTCAAGTACCTTGTCCATGTGGTCCGAAAGGGAGCCAAACAGGTGGCCCACATCTGCAGGTTCTTAGCACGTCGCGCGGGACTCAACATTGCCGCCTCTCCGCCTCCAGTGGAACCCCAACAAAGGCAGAGCCAGAAGAGGAGGAGAAAGTCCTCAAGACAGGGGTCATTGTCTGTTTACCACATGGTCCACCCTCACCCTCACTACCATTACCATCTTGGGAATGGTAGCGTGAGAGCAGGAGGCGGCATCAGGTGTCTGGAAGGTCAAGACGCGGATCCATCTTCTCGCAACAACAACGTGGGAGCCTCCTTTGGCGGAACCCTGACTTTAGCGCCACCGCCACGCTCAGTCACGACAGCAACTTCCGACAGCAATCTAGTGGGATGTGGGGATTCACATTCAACCCTCGGCGCGCCCCGCCGAGAAACCCTTTGCTATACCCCCACATCCTCAACCCTGTTCCAAACTCCAGGCCCATTCTCCTTGACTTCAGCGTTGACGTCCAGGGCGATGAAGAGGAACTCTGTGCCGTTTGCTGCTCCCGGTCCGAAGAATTACCCCACTCTCCAGGACAGAGCTCTAGCAGAGTCGCGACGAGGTAGCGTGGCAACCAGTACTCTCACGAATATCGGCCTCAACATCCCACCGATGTCCTATGGGAGAAGGCGGCAGAGCCTGGCGGACACCCGCAACCCCGCAGGTAGATCGTTGCTCGCAACTCTTTTGAAGTTAACTTGAACCACGCAAATCGAAGGGCCAAAGTTGTTTTGCGAATCTGAGCACAAATGACTTTCAGCTACCGGTATTTAGTTGAACACAAAAGTATTATTCTGCGGTATGAACGGCAACAGGTTTTACCTTCTGCAACCTAGCGGGAGAGCATTTAACTCATTCAATCCCAGTTATATAAAAATCGAGTTCCTCTATTTGCATTTTTAACCCAGATGGCAAATTTCATCACAACTGTTGGTTTCCATGCACGGCTGTGAACTCATGAACAAGCCGACATCGATCCAACCAATCCAGTTCAGTATCTGTTGCCTTGAGCTCGCGTGCTTTGCAGTCAGCGGAGGTAAAAATAGGCCGAACGTCAGGAAGTGTGAGAATAGCACGGCTGAGTTTTTGTCAGAATTGCGCAAAAACAAATGACATACCTCCACTCAAAATGTTCCCTTTTCATGCAATCACCTATTAGAATCAGACATAAATGTGTTGTGATTAAGCCCCGGCACTCGAATACCCTCCAGATTTCTTTTTCCGCACGAGAGAGCGAAAACATTTCTAATTACAGTCAAATGTTAATGCTTCGTGTTGTAGCTGGCAACTGACTTCTCTGCTTCTGGCCAAGCTCTAAAAGGCAGTGCGCTCAGCAAAAGTCAGGCCAGATCTGCTCAGGTTCGACGGGCGGTGGAAACACTGGCTGCCGGCCCACGTGGGCTGCAGCGCGGTCTGCGGAGACAAAGCCTCACGCATGGCCCGTCACTGTCGAACACACTCCCTCTGACACACACGCAAGCATCCCAAAGTGTTGCTCTTCACAGTCGATTCCTTTATTTGTTATGACATTTTTTATGAAACACTTGACGCGTGCTATTTATCACCATCGCACTTATTTTCGTCTGCTCTCTCGCTCAGCTGCAGCCCAGCCCGCTTGCCAGCTGTCGGCTCGCGACCTCAGCGCCATGAGCAGCGCCGTGGACGTGGCGGGGTTGCCAATGGACCCCGAAGGTTGCCCCTATTGCGCCAAAGCCCTCGCCAATGAGTCGGAGGGCGGCACAGAGACGCCGGGAGACTCCGACAGCGAGGGGGTCTACGAGTTGAGCCAGGAGACGCGCCGCAGGGACAGGCGGGACAGTCGGCAGCCCAAGAAAAAGCCTTTCAGGTTGGGGAAAACGGCTGGAAAGGTGGTGCACTTCTGGAGGTTGGTGTGCGATACGTTTCGCAAGATCGTCGACAGCAAGTACTTTGGACGTGGGATCATGATCGCCATCTTGATCAATACTCTCAGTATGGGGATCGAGTATCATGAACAGGTGAGTGTCACAAAGTTTTTTTTTTTTTTTAATTGCACCTTCCGTAGGAGTCAATTCCACAAATGAGTAGCCACAGCTGATGTAGTGATGAATGAATTCCAGTCAAAGATTCCCTGTGTCTGTTTGTGTGTCTCTGTGTGATTGTGTAAGATGCAATGCTCCCACAAGACCGAGTGGAATTCCTGATGTCTCTCTCTGGACTTGTTTATTTACACCAGCATAATTGCAGCCATGTGGGAGAGAAAATCGGGGGGGCGGGGGAAGAGAGTTTATGACGAGATGAGATGAGGGAAGGGTGGATTTCATTTATCGGAGGCCAGAAAGTGACATACTCGAACGCTTCCATTCTGTATCTTTTACAAACATGCTGCATAGGTTTATATTTGTGTACACTGAAAAGTGAAAAAAAAAATGTTCCGGTGTGATAAAGTGCTGAACTCATTCACTCCCAAAGACGTTTTTAAACGTCTTTTCAGACTCCGTCCAGAATTGGCTGGTACTAAATGAGTTTTAATGTTGTTGAATGGTGTGATTTTTACACTAAAATCTCGAAAGGGAACACCGCTTCGTAGCTCGTGGTTAGCACGTCTGAGCTTCGAGGATTGGAATCTTGGCTCAACCAACGCTTGGGTGGCTTTTCACCGGGTACGCCGGCTTCCTCCCACGTTCCAAAAATAACCACGTCAGGTTAGCGGGTGACTAAATTGTTCATTGGTGTGAACGTGAATGGTCGTTTGTCTCGATGCGCCCTGCGACTGGCTGGTGACCAGTCCAGATTTATATACCCCGTCTTTCGCCGCAACCGGCTGGAAAAGGCCGCGGATCACCCCATGACCCTCCCGAAAGATAGGCACTGTCGAGAGTCAAAAGCTTGGATTTGCCAATCGAAACCGACAAAAGGCCATGTTCATAAAAAATGGTGATTAGCCTTGATTGGGTGCAGTGAAGATAGACGCAACATATTGTCGCAAGTCGACTGTCGTGTTTTCACTTTTTTTTCCCCCACTGCCAGTCAAAGGTTTGTATGAAGTTATACGACCCAACTGTTGTTTGTAATGGGGTGTTTTGAGGTGATTCAAACATGTTCGGGTTATGTGGGGTTACTTTGGGTCCCTGACCCAGCGCTGATAAACATGGCCAGATGGCAACATCTCGTAGCCCAACCACAGGAGGTTTTATAGGCTTCTCATTTCCACCTCCAGTTTTCTGCCTCATTCTTCTACTTTCTTCATCCTGCCCTTCCTCCGCGTACCGCCCCCTTTTTTTTTGTTTTGTTTTGTTTCTCATGTATCCTCTTGTTGTCATGCCTCTTGTTATTCCATGTGCTTCTCAGTTACTTTCACCCCACTCGTGCTCAAGTGCTTTTTGTTGTTGTTGTTGTTGAGTCTCCACACGCATAGCTTTAAACTTCACCCACAGACAGATCATTGATTGTTAGCCCGTTGACATCCAGCAGAAAGAGGGATTGCCAAACCTCAGTTTGTCTTTGTAATTCTGTTCATATGGTAGGGAGAAAAAAATATAAATATATATATTGGGGTTTTTTTTTCCCCATAAGTGTCATTCAGCCAAGTTTACCATTATGCGTTGGCTTGCGTGTACTCCACAACTACCACCTGGTGCATCGTGATGAATGCCTCGCGCCTAAAAGCGGCAGCACGTCGTAATTATTATGCGAAAGTAGTCACTTTAACATTGTTTGGATGGTACGCTGGCTTGTACTATTATGTCAGGCAACTATGTTCGTGGATGAACCAGGACACCTCTCATAGAACATTTCAAACCAAAAAAAAAAATCCTTAGGTACAGAGAGGTCCCAATTCTTCTTTCAACAAATACTGTATAAAAACACCATTTGAATCATTGACAAAATTGTGAACAGGATTGGTGATATCGTAACAGTTCCTTCCTCAGCAAAAACTCCTAACCATAATTTATATGCATGTTTTTTTTAATAACTATTTAAATAAATGCCAAGTGTAAAATGGTTCATAATAACAGGAGTAGTCAAATTATTGACTATACAAGCATTCCATGTTAAGCATGACGTTAATCCTCCTATCTCATGCTGCGGTGAGGATAAAATGTAGAGCCCGCGTGTCGTCGTCGCAGGGAAGTAGTTGTGTGCACGCTGTGATAAGCCATTTCCAGTTGGCAGAGATCACCAAGCACAACGTTTAATTTCTACTTGCGTAACAGTTCAAATATACCGGCGTGTTCCCCAGCAGGCCATCAGTGTATGGAGCAGCAGCGCCTGAACTCTCCCTGTCGATGACACGTAACAGAGCCGCCCCCCCGGTCTGCTTGATTTGTCCTAAACACACGCTTGAGAAAAAAAAAAAAAACCGCGACTGGGGACACGGCACGCGCATCCACTTTGTATGAGGGGAGCCAACGAGGCGAGTGCAGAGAATTGAAATGTGGGATGAAGAGTTTGTGCGGAGGGGTGGGGTGGGGTGCTTGGGTGGCTGGATAAAAAAGATGATTAAGTAGAGTGTTGGATAGGGATGACAGAGTGTCAGGACTTGGAGGTGAAGGGATAGAAGGGAGATTATGGCAAGAAGAGTGGAGGCAGACGGCTCGGACGGGTGTCTGCTTTATTTCCAGTGCGTTTGAGAGCACTGCCATTTAAGGTGGACTTGATGGAATCATTGTGCGTCTGCCAACGATGCAACAACAGTCTCTTCACTTGGGTAGGCCTTACTCGCTCTCATTTCACAGAAGAAACTTCCTCGGCAACTGCCAGTGTTGCATTCAGCCCAAATTTCGCTCCTCGTCAGAATCTTTGATCATCAATGCCGTTTGCTCCTCACAGAGGAGGTGAAGACCCCTGTTGGTGAGATAGTTTTCGACAAGGGGTCCCCAACACGGTGCCTTTATACACCAGGTAGAGACAGAAGGACCACATGAGCCGCCCGCAGGCACATTGTGATTTCCTAGGAATGTTATAGAAGTGATTATTTTAAAAGTGTAAACACTTGCAGGGCGCACTGCATTTTTCGGCGCATAGAATAGCAGCCACAGTAGTGGCTGCGGTTGCGTTATGTATCCACTAGATGGAGCTAAAGTAAAGGGATGTTTGTTTTTGTTGATCATCTGCAGTTTGCTATGGGAGAAAGACATTTTTCTCCCGCTTCTCGTTCCAAACAATTCACTCGTAGCTAACCGATGTATCTGTCGCAGCCTGAAGAATGACACATTTCTCAAGACACGCTTTGGTGTGCTGCACTAGCTTCTAATCTGAGACTTCAAGGAAAGCTTTTCCAGCCCTGAAGCCTGTGAAATTCAAATGACAGAATCGTCGGAGTGATCAAAAGATGCGTTCAGTTATTTCCTGATTCACTGAGATGCCAAATCATAGTCTGCCTTGGCCCGGCATTCTCCGTTTTCGAGGATGTAGACGCTGTGTTGGATGTGTGCTCGTTAGAAATGTATTCAGAGTTTCATACTTGAACCACTTCTTCGACTCGTATCAATTTCACACCTCTTCTGCTTGCCTCGCTTTAGCTTGATTTGATATTGTTGTGATGGCTTTTCATTTTAAAGTAGACGTTTAAAGTGTGCTTCTTGTGCCAATAGTGGGAGGTGGGCTCCCTCTAGTGGTACACAAAAGAATCACCGAACTAAATGTCTGAACTGCGCAACATGTTCCGGGCGCTTTTATTTATTTATTTTTAATCCAATAAGGTAAGCATATTTCAGTTCTGCTTAACTTTTAAGCGCAATACATTTATTTTATTTATTTATTTATTAAATTGTTAACTTCTAATCTCACTTTTGTGTGTAATGCAGTTTAATGAAATTGTTCAGTGCATTTTTTTTTTCTCAACGTTCCGATTGTGCATCGTGTAACAGTGGCTTACTATCACCTGAAACAAAACTTCTGTTTTGTTTTTGATGAACATTTTGGCCAACTACGCTTATGTATATCAAAGTTGGTCATGACGGGTGCCACTTTGCAATATTTTATTGAGGCACGAAACAGTTTGAGAACACCCTGTATCGCATTTGCATCAAACCTAAATCATTCCTCAAAGCAACCCAATCAACAAATAATCACCGCGAGAGTATATCCCTCTTTATTTCACGCTTCGAATTACTTCCGATACAGCAAGCGCGCCCACTTGATTAAACCAACACACTCACCGAGCGCGGCGCTGCGTCATTAGCGGTCTGAGTGCGGCATTCCATTTGGATGATATCACATCAGATTAGGTGGCATTACATTAGCGCTAACCAGATTAGGCTATTCCTCATCAAACGCACTTTATCTCCTAATGTTCCTGTAGCCTCATTACCCAGGAAACGGACATTGAATGAGGCAATTAGAAAAGCAAGAGCAGTTTTTTGTGCCTGACACACCCGTAACACGTGTAGGCACGAATCTCTCTCTCCCTTGCTAGTTACTCGCACGTCAGTCGCCTTTATTGAATTAAGAAATGAATCGCCTGAATTGTAAACTTGAAACACGCCACCATGATATGTCCAAGAAAGCGTTTTATTGTCTCACTCACCCACGACGTCCGAGGAATGTGCGCTATATGAGAGAAAACAATTGCAGAGCAGAAACGAAAAATATAATAATAATAATAATGATCTGTCTCATGGCCAGATTACTGCAGTCCAAGTCTCGGCCCATAAAAGTCGTACTTTTTGTTTCTTGTTTTGGCATCTGAGCCACATCTATTCAAGAAGTGTGCGGATTCATGAATGCGGCTTTCAAATTTAGGCGGTGGGTTTCCGTGTCGCCTGTTGCTCCCACGTGCAAACTCTCCAAGTCGTTCTCCCTTTTGAAGTTGTGCTCTTTTGAAGGTATTTATGGCCCCTGCTATCAGGTAAAAGGATGGAATCGAGCAGATGGATAAATCAGACGCACGTCGGTGAGCCGAGATAAATTTCAAACGACAGACAATGAGAAAGAGGTGAGATGAAACGGATACCGTTTTGATTTTCCCAAAATGGGCTACCGGTGGCAGGGGCAGCGGATTATGTGGGCAGATTATTCCTTTTCAAGTGCGGCGGGGAATTGAAGTAAATGGTATATTTTTGCTGCGGTTGTTTGCACTTTAACCGAACGGGCTTGCGAGGAAGTCGCGCGTTCCATTTGGGCGTTGTTAACCGCCTGAAAATTACAATTAGGTTCAGTCTGGCAGCCCATTTTTTTTCCCGTCACTTTCCAGGTGAACCTTCACCTCGTTTTCAAAATAAAAGCACGTCGAGGAAAAACTGATTTGTGTTGAGGAGAACGAGGAACCCAGTTTTTTTCGGTGTTGAAATAGGATGGCAGTAGCCAGAATTGAAGAATCATTTCGAAAGGGAAAAGGACGATTAACGTGATTGAAGAGCTCTTCTCCAACCAAAATCCATCGAATCATTTTCTGTATCTTGATTAAAAAAAAAACAAAAAAAAAAACTTTTATTGGCTCTGTTTTAACAGTCAACAAAAGGTAAAAGATGTTTTAAGATGTTTTTTTTTTTCCATGTATCCCAGATAATCTGCGCTGTTCATTTTTAGACCCTGACATTTACTCTGGCAATAGCAAAGGAAGTTAGCACTTCCGTTCTGCTGTAATTTCTTTTGCAGTATGAAGCAAAAGCGGGGTTAAGACGTTTAATCGCTCTCCATTTATCATACCAATCTGAGCGGACCGTGGTAGGCCAGTTTCACAGTTTGCCAAAAAACACAAAATTCCAGGCCGGAGCATGACCAAATTTGTTTTTGGGATGAAAGAGATCCGTGTAGTCACAGCTCCAGCTTGTGGCTAACATTTCATGTTCACGATTGAAAATCACCCCCCCCGATCACCCATCATTGTTTTCCGTGGCGTCAATCGTTGTGGAAGGGCATTAACGCTTGACTGAGAAGAGATGAAACGAACGAGTGGGGTTGTTTCTGAAGGATCGCAAAGATGTTGCAATATCGGGCCTCCGTATTGCCGCTCCGTTTTCTCTGCCCCAGGCTCTGTTGGTGCGGTTCGGTCTTAGGGGAGTTGTGACTTAATACGACGCAATCTCTTGTCCAGACATACTCAAGTTTTGTTGTAAGATGGGGGGGGGAGCTCACTGAGTTTCAACCATACACATTCTGCAAAGTGCTTGCCATTCGTATGAAGTGCCGACTTATTTCCGATCCCTTCTTTCCTTTTTGAGTAAAGCTCATTGTGGTATTTAAGTGACTGCTCAGCTCTGTGTGTTCTTCCTGATGACAAAATATTCTCGGGTTGGAGTGATGTTAATCTCTCTCTTTATTTTCTATGTGTATCTGTGCTGGTTTTGAAGCAAAAAAAAAAAAAAAAAAAGTGGTGCTTACACAGTCATGGTGTCCCAGTGATTAGTCGCAGCCCACCAAGAGAGACGCGATGGCAACTCGCCGTGTTCACATTACTTCACATGACCTCCGGGTGCGGCTTGCACACGAAACGGAATGCAAAAACTGAAACGTACTCATGGGTCGCAACATTTGACGCCATTGCCTCACTGCATCAGGATGACAAAGCCAACAACATAGATCACCCCTTCAACGCCTTTTTTTTTTTTTTCCCGCCGCCCCATGTCTGTGTAAGCTGTCGAAATGACACCATGTTTGAGTTGAGTAAACTGTTTATTGGATGGAGTTGAAAGGCCTCACGGTGCTTGTCTCGGGGTGTTAAACAAGTCCGCAGACGCAAAAGAAAGCATTTGGCTCTTTTCTCCTCTGCCGGAATAGCCCAAACTGGCGATAGACCTCTGATTTACATACCGTGTTGTTTGGATGTGCCTCGCCTTTTATTGCTTTGGCTCTCTTTTCTGTCTGCTTGCTCTCTCTCTCTCTCTCTTTTTTATTCTCTGTAGCACAGAAAACACACACACATCCACTCATGCCAGTTGTTTGATCTTGTTGTGAATGACAGCTCAATTCTCTGATGAGCTCCGAGCAGACATCCGAGGCACATTCTGCTGCAGCTTTGTGATCGGTACACATCTGTTCGGCGAGGGAACAAAGGCTGAGTGTGGGCATTGGATGTAGGAAAATACATGTTTGTATTCTTGTAATGTTGGGGGGGGGTTAAGACCCTGGCCTGCATTTCCTTTGCGTCTGTGACATAGCAGATTTGGAGATGTTCTTATTGCGTGAATGTTTTGCTTCAGGCTGGTGGATTTCATGTCCGTATTGCCAGCGCACACTTGCATATTCAGAATATCACGTGTGATGACTTGACATTGGTGTCTGAAGTGCAGGATCTTTTTGCAGCAGTCAAGGTGACTCGAACATGTGCCTCGCAGTCGAGAGTCCCTAAGTGCCCTGTACTGAAAAAAATGAATAATAATCATCTGGATCCAGTTCCATTTTTTTTTTTTTTTTTTTTTTTTTATAAATAGATTATACATCGACTTAAACATGTAGCTAAATCCAGATGAGTCCATTGTGTGCAACCACAAAGTAAATTCAACGTTGCTTTTTTTTTTTTTGCAGTGTAAATGGATGCCGAGGATGGATTATTTTCCAGTTTTAATGACCCTCCTGTCTTTCTTTTCCCCTTCGAGCCTGACGAACTGACCAATGCCCTGGAGATCAGTAATATAGTGTTCACCAGCCTCTTCTCCCTCGAGATGCTGTTAAAAGTGTTGGTCTACGGACCTTTTGGATACATCAAGAACCCCTACAATATCTTTGATGGCATCATCGTGGTCATCAGGTGAGTTGAACCCACTTTTCTTCCTTTGTGCTAAGTATGAAGCGAGACTACCACTTGCCCCTAGCTGTACTCGAATGTATATTTGTACGCCCTCCTCAAATAGTGTGTGGGAAATCGTGGGTCAGCAAGGTGGAGGTTTGTCCGTGCTGAGGACCTTCCGACTCATGAGGGTGCTGAAGCTGGTCCGATTCATGCCGGCCCTACAGAGGCAACTGGTGGTGCTCATGAAGACCATGGACAACGTGGCCACCTTCTGCATGTTGCTTATGCTCTTTATCTTCATCTTCAGGTAAGCGGAGTGCGTGCGGCCTTTCTAAACGAACCGGACACAACCTCGACTTTGACAGTCCGATATCAATACAAGAGCGGGAGCTAAAATTCTGCCTTACCAGAGATAGTCATGCTCGGGTTAAATTCACATTATCAGAAAACGTGAAAAAAAAAAAAGTTTAATAAAAAGGTTGTGTGTCTAGGTTTATTATTTCTGGATGGTTTGGTCAAATAATGAAGGAATACAGCCTTAACATTTCCACTGCACTGACAATTATGCAGCATCTTTCCCGGCGCTCTCCATGGTGCTGAAGACATCTGCATCTCATTAAACATTGACAACCAGATGACTCTCAGCTAATCAGTGTTAAGATCATTATTTTGCAGTCAGCGCCAGCTTGAAAAAAAAAAAAAAAACACAAACCACCGTGTTCCCCATGTTGATGTTTGTCTTATGTGACTGGAGTTGATTTTTTTGTCTGATGTTAATATTCACTCCGTTCTTTCTTGTTTGCTGCCTCTCAGCATTCTGGGAATGCATCTGTTCGGTTGTAAATTTGGTTCCGAGCGGGATGGAGACACCTTACCGGACAGGAAAAATTTTGACTCGCTTCTGTGGGCCATCGTGACTGTTTTCCAAGTGAGTTAAAAAAAAAAAAATAAAAAAAAAACTTTCTCTTCTTCTACACCTTTGCTCACTTAGCTGGAAATTGCATGTTATTCCATCATCTAGGTTAGGGACGGGAGAAATCTTGGTGCATTGTGATGCAGATTGTGAATCCAGAAAAAAATTCTTTCTGATGACATAATGTAGGCCAATGCTTATGCTTTGTGTGTGATAAGTACTTATTGGCTCAATTACAAGCATGGGTATGATTTATTTATTAATGTATTTATTTTTTTAACCATCGGACACAATTGAAATATCCTCGTCGACATTTTCTCAATGCCAAAATGCCAACGAATCCAAATCTGATGAAGTGCCTTTGAGCAAATGCAACCTTTATCTCCGTTCTGCTGACACAAACTGTCCTATCACATGGCCTTAAAAGAATATACATTATGAATAAATAAAGTGTAGGTTTTTTTTTTCCCCTCAACCTTCTTAGCAATCAGCCTTCTCTTCACGTTCAACGGATTTCTATTTCCAAGTATGTTACATGGATCAAGTAGGCTTTTTTTTTTTCCTCCTCCTGTGTCATGTCTCTTAGGACACGCTCGACACGGCCTTTCTCTGGGCTCTTCTCATCTATGCATTATCCCCGCATACCCAATGCACAGCATTTGTCACTGTGAATACAGTCAGCGTCAATAATTCAAGGATCTGTCGGATGAAGGGATATTTCAAGTCTCGCCGTGGCGAGAGAGCATCGCATCGGCAAACTTGTTCAAAATTAGTGGTGCAAATAGATGGCGTGCAGGGGGGGAAAAATGAAGAGAATGGCATCAAAAGAAGTAAACAGCCGTAAACAAATTCGAAAATACCCGAAAGCAGAAATAATGATGATATATAATCATAATAAATAATAATAATAATAAAATAATAATGATCAAAGCCCATTTCGTCAACTGTTGAATCGAATTTAGTCAAATGAATTGATGATCTCTGAAAAACTCGAGCCAATTCAAATAAATCACCGTTGTTTTCTGACTCAGCAGCACAAAATTATCCAGAAACCATTAAAATATATTTGGCACATAATTTTTTTTTTTCCAGAATGAATGTCGGTGAAAGTCACATACCGTTGTCGGGCGTCACGCCAAACAGCAAACGATTGTAAAGTTGAGGCAAATCACTGCTGCATACGGCACCCAAACTCATTGTGCAATACCCCCCCCCCCCTCTCTCTCGTAGATTTTAACCCAAGAAGACTGGAACAAGGTATTATATAACGGCATGGCATCCACAACTCCGGTAGCGGCTCTCTACTTCATTGCCCTTATGACTTTTGGTAACTACGTTCTGTTCAACCTGCTGGTGGCCATCTTGGTTGAAGGCTTCCAAACTGAGGTAAAGTGTTTTTGTCTGTTTTGTCAGGAAGGTTGCTACGCTAGCCATCTCAATGACGGGGTTATTTATTGATTTCCTCTCTCTGTCTTGAAGTGTCTGACTAGTTGTTCACACAGCTAAATTGAATGGGACACCGATGTTGATTTTTATGCGATACGTCAAACCGAATCGTGCCAATTTGTCATTCCGCTGCGCATGTTAATGTCCATGGGCATATTTTCCACATCAACTTTCACTAATGGGTCAGTCTCCAGAGTGGGTCAATCACACATCAAAGCAGATTGCGGACATTTCATCTTTTTCTGCTTAAGCACCTCCGATCAACTTTCATTCCCCGCTTTGAGCTCAGTAGTCATTGTCATTCAGTGTAATTCGTTGGTTGGCCGTCAAAGGAAAATAAAATGATCGGCACTCTTTTCAGTTTAACCCTTTCGGGGACAGTGGTTACTACAGTGGACGGCTTATCATGTTATCAGGTTACAGGGTGCATGAAACACAAAATGTAGAGTCCTTAGTTCGAATGTTCTCTTCAGTAGCTGTGCTTCCTTTCTTTTCGAACTTCACGCCCCTCTTTGAAAGTTTATTTTTAAACTGCCAAACTTCCATTGCGTTGCTGTTGCTAGGTAACCAGCCGCTGAATGATGTTGGAGCGATGTACAGCTCTGGAGCTAAGACCCCAAAACGCATATGTGAACTGCTTTGGCGATATTCCGATAGTTATTGAACCGAAATGTATGACATGGAACTTTCCTCGTATTCTCCCAGCAGCTCTGTGTTGTGTAGCTCAACTGTGCATTGCGATACACACCGTACAGATGCAAACTAACACACATGAACTGGAATCCTGCATTATGATGATGCATGGGTGCTGAAAAGCATGTTTGAACAATGCAGTGCTGTGCCGCGAAGGTACAGGCATAAATTTGAATGCCTGCTCTTCGAACAAGTGGAATTGCAGGCCGTGGCTGTCCACTTCACTGTTCCTCTCTGACCTTCTTGCTTTCCTGTTACCGAGGCTGCGAATGGACTCGCGCAGATCATTTTGTCAACAATGCGCCGGGGACGGGAAATGGGCTGCGACATGTTTTCTCGGCATGGTGACCTCAGAATGTTGCGATGAGGCTGAATGAATCTCTTTCAACTTGGTGTCTGCTCTTGTGCACTGCTGCGGTGCCTCTCACTTTCTGTGCTTTTCTCCCCCGCCCCTCCCCCCCTTCCTCATGCGCGCCTCCCTCACCTGCGTTGCTGCACCAATCACTTCCACCGTAGGAAGTGGCCAAGCGGGAGGACTTGCATGCCCAACTGAGTCTAATTCAGCTGCCTGTAGATGCAGGGGTATGTACGGGAAAGCATGGCAGCTCCCTTATCTTGCCCTTCCCTTCGTCTACTAACAGCCCTCCTCCATTTTCCCCTCTGCCTTCCCCGTTTACCTGTTCCCCTTCTCCATCCTCGCAGAGGCTTTGCAAATAGGTCGCATATCTTTCCGATGCCACAGCCTGATGGCCCAAAAAAAATAAAATAAAATAAATAAAATTAAAAAAAAAAATATATATGCACTATTATATATTTTTTTTTTTTAATACTGTCTCGCAGTCATCACATAACGTGCCAATAGTTTCTGAAATGACGACCGCTACTACAAATTATTATGATTAATATTATGTTGTCGTCGCAAATGTGGTATGAAAATTGTGCTGAAAAAAATAAAGTGCGTCTTATCACTCGAGGCGTGCGAGACTTCTGCCCCCTGTGCAGTACAATCCAGATTTCATTTTAGGAAAAGAGAACTGCAGAGAGAGAGAGAGAGAGAGAGAGTTAATTTTCTGCATAAACAGAGTGAGAGGAGAATGGAATACGGTCTCCTGCTTTGATGAGTCATCACCGCAAAAATGAATATCTGTCTGCCAGATAAAATAAGGTAACACGAATAGCGACAGGAGGGAAAAAAATAAGTTAGATTAAACCACAAGTTCATGCTGCAATTCTCAAACAGAAAATGGTGATTTTTTTTTTTTTTTTAAATCTTTCAATAAACATTTATTATTTTCAAAATGATTGAGCCTCGGCTATTCGTTCGTATTTTTCACGCATTGATTTGTTTGATTCACAAAATAATCTGACTCCTTTAAAAAAAAAACAAAAAAAAAAACAATAATAAAGAAGTGGTCATTCATATGAATCCATTCTCGGGATCAACTTGTCCGAAAAAAATGTAGTCGCGCGGGTGCCAAAAAAACACGACGGCCAATATGTGTGTATGTGGGCTTTCCGAAAGATATGTCCCGCCCCAAAGTTCTCTACCCCCCACCCCCCTACCCCTCCCCGCCTCCTGCATGCTGCCCATCCCGCTAACCAGGGTCGTGAATGATTGCGCTGATTTGGTTTCGGAGAAACAACAGAGTGCTTAAACATTTGCATCACTTTACTGCGTTCATGTTTTTTTTTTTTTCTCCCCCAATCTTTAAAAGCAGCATTAAACCCGACTTTGATTGCTTACCTCCCACCAGCTCCTCTTTCTCACCGGAGGGTGAGATCACTGCAGCAAAGTCGGCTGCCAACAAGCTCCCTCTTAGTCTCTTAATATATCAGGTTAGGACAAAGTGAAGTGAAGAGGAGAGATGGTGCCAGCTTACTGGGAGGCCCAAGCACTGCTGGATATGTAAATGCAGCAGGTCTAGAGGATACAAATTACGAAAAAAGGCGTCCAGAGGGGAAATCAACTCTGTTTGCATAAGTCGGTCTCTTTGAGAGAGCCCAGTGTGGTCTGTTAAATGTGCTTTTTGAAAAGCAAAATCATTCTAGTGAACACCATTCAAATCGGAATCTCGACTCTTGTACGGGCGAATGTTACTTGCAGTAGCTTTAGGCTCTTTTATAAAAATGTATTTTGTTCTATCCTGTTTCCGTAAAAGAGGGCGCGATAGCAAAAATTGGGCGTTCCAGGGTACGCTTTCGGGTAAATCTAAGATTAAGATGAAATTTGCATGCTTTCATGTTCATGAGGTATACAAGGTACCACCGCTCGAAGAGATGTAACTTTGGATGCCTCATTCGGTTGCTGGCAAGAAAGGGGCAAAAGATAAAAACATCTCAGTGGTGGCATAGTTCATTCGCTCTGCGCGCTAAAACCACAATTCAAATCCCAACGCAATTGACAATGCCAAAGGGGGGGACGTCATTCAACTGAAATGTACTAGCCAAATGTGTTTACGGTTCTCTTAATGGCTCATTGAATCACTAAGTGAGCTAGCATGAGGAAATTCTACTTTCACAATCCATCCTTTGGATGAAGTTTTGATTTGAATTGAGTAAACAAGTCCAATACTGCAATTAGTTTCGGAAAATAACAAATCAAAACGCGATAATGAGTTCTACTCCAACCACTTCTTGGCTGAAAAGTTTCAACATCCCGTTTCGGAAGAAACCTTACGATGGAAAACACACAAACAATTACCGCGCTTCCTTGTATCAACATTCCATCTGCCATGTCGAACCCGTTTTGAAAGCAGGTAATTGAGATCCTCCCGTGAGCTGCTGGTGTCTATTAATGTTTGGCTATCTAACAGCAGGTCTGGTCTGCCTTATCTCCTGCTCCAGCCACCATGCCCGAATTGGCAGATAAACAAACTGTCTAAATATCCCGGCTATTTCTTTCTTCACCAAGGATTTCCCTCAAGACCAGACTCCCACACACACACACACACGTACTCTCCTCCCACCAGGTGTCCAAACCAACATCATGTCCACCTTTCCCACTCGCTTATTCAACCTCGACGGATGCGCCCTAAGTGATAATCCCCGAGTCATAAATAATTCATTCGAACCGAATGAAGCTCTGATTTTGCGCCATTCGCGAGTCATGAAATCTGACTCGCAGAGGACCCAAATGGGGGAGGGGCATTGTTTTTCTGTCTTGCCGAATGACCGTAGAATAACAACGGCTAATGATGCGAAGCAATAGTACTTATAAAGGCCAGTGGAAATGGTGATTTGTGGTTTGACGGCCATTCAATAATGAAGTGAGCAAATCAAGAATCGAAGGTCGCCAAACTCTCCACCTTTAATGATCGGCTTTGCCGTTGCACCTCATAAAAAGTCTCGGTAGGTGATTTCTATTCAAGAGTCGACCATATATGGATGCTGACATAGTATTGCACCCTAACAGCACAAATATTCTGTTCAAAATGATGATTTTAGTGAAACGGAATTACAATTTTCACGGGACTAATTTTCTTCGATATTATTCCTTACAGCCATTGCGAAGAACTAAAGCTGTATTCTTTTACTCCTTACTCCGCATTAGCATGCACATTTGAACAGCCGAGAGTGCACTTGCGATACGTGGTTTCCATCACCTCAGATCAAGCTGTCAGAACTGTCTTTCAACTGCCCCTTTATTTACCAAAATAAGTCAAATTTAAGAATCTAATGTAGGTTTTACTCACAAAACTCATTTGACGGTAATTATTATTATTATTATTATTATTTTTTTAACAATCAAGTATTCGATACAAATAATAGGTTTGCTTGAAACACGAGGCAAAATATTGCATTGCTTTTTTGGGGGAGGTTGTTTTTGTTTTGTTCGTGTCTGTGCTTCAAAAAAAAAAAAGTGCAGCGTTCCATACGAGCAGCCAGCCATTCAGCTATTACGTTCCTGCAATTTATTTTGTTTGGTGAAAAGCATCTTTTTTAATTGTTAAATGGTAAATCTTTGGTGCTTTTCATTAACCCAAGAATAACTTTTTAAGCTCCTGACAGGTCTTCATTGTTCTGTTTTCCACCCCCCCCCCGCCCTCCTCAGAATGCTATACTAACTAGATGCAGAAATTTGAGCAAAATTGCAAGCACAGAACGTCTCAAGGGCCTCTTTACTTGATTAGGCTCCTGTTCCATTCGCAAACCTCACCGAATTTTGTCACACTCCGCCATTCGAAGGATATCAGGAAATCACTGTGAGTGAGAACATGTAAATGAGCGCTTCAATTTCCCACGATAGCCCGAAAACAATTTGAAGCTGCAGTACTCTCACACACAGGGAAAGATAAATAAAGTAATTTGTTCAAGATGAGAGCTGTGGTGAATAAATCCGAAATCTCACAGCCGTTACATAAAAGTGTTCCGCCAAACTGTGACTGAAACAATTCTAAACTTCATTGAACGTGTCAAAAGTAGAGAATAGCTTCCAGAGAATGCGCTGAGCTTGCGATTAGCTTGAACAAAATGTGACATTTATGGCAGACAAACGTTCAAGACGGAGGTCTCATTTTCAAGTTCCGACATTATGTCGTAAGAAATACAAGTTCTGGTTGGCCTTTTGACACTTTTTGTCAGCAATATGAATATTGAACACATTTAAAGGTGACATGGTCAAGATATTGCCCTCTCCTCACCCAATGCATGCTACCGTTTTTGTGTTTCAGTGTTTTTCAGCGAAACCAGCATCATTACTATGTTGCATGCATGCGCGGTGCTGTTTATCGATGAACTTCCTCTTTCCTCTATCTGTCTTGTGAACTGTGGGAGCACGGAGGGTGGCGCCTTCACCTGCCTGTTCGTAGACTTGCGTTGCCTCCGGTGACTGATCCCCGTGGTCACATCTGGCTTGTTACTCACGGAAAACGAGGAGCGAAAAAAAGCTCAGCAGGGATCAGCACCGAGAGGCAACGTCAGACCCCCACTTTCAATTAGAATTGAAACCAATGATTACACATTTGGTTTCCCCTCTAAATTGTGTGTGTGTGTGTTTGTGTGTGTGTGTGTGTGTGTGTGTGTGTGTGTGTGTGTGTGTGTGTGTGTGTGTGTGTGTGTGTGTGTGTGTGTGTGTGTGTGTGTGTGTGTGTGTGTGTGTGTGTGTGTGTGTGTGTGTGTGTGTGTGTGTGTGTGTGTGTTTGTGTGTCAAAGGGTGACTCTTCTAAATCAGGTTCAGAGATTGATTCCTGTGCGCGCAGTATGGAGGATGTTAACGGCAGTAAGAGGGAGTTATCGGCCTCTGCAGGTGAGCCAAGACAATATTACGTGCGCAGTGCCGCCATGACTTCATGTCAGTGACGGTCGAAATAAATGCCAGTATCAGAAATGCGAGTATTGTCGTCAATAGCACAACCAAACTTAAAAACAACCAGCAAGGCGCTGTGGCCAAGTCAATGAGAAGATGAGGCGATGTGATGTTGAAAAATTATGCGACTAAATTACAGCTTTTATGTGATGTCGGAGTCCTTCAAAATACAGAGTTAATAAAAAATACAATAGGTTTTAAGTTTTGACTCCCCAAAACTGGACTGGCGGTTTCGAGAGCAACACAGATCTTAGAACTCGTCTGGAATTGTAATGACGATTGCTGCTCTTTCTCCTTGCTATTTTTTTGTCAGATCCATTGCTCACGTTGTGACACTGGTAAACAAATAAAAATGAATCTTTTTTTGATGGAGCAGAATGTAAGGTCAAAGACGTATTAAGGCAAATAATGTCCTGTGTGAAAGATTACCTTTGGTCTGCTGTGATCAGTCACAGTCTCCCCTTAGTGGGTGAGTATGCAGCTGCATTCCCCGTGCACAACATCAAACCAGTCCAGAGGTCTCATCCATAATTTCCCATACGCCGGTTCCTTTAATTAGCACTCTTGCAGACGGAATAACCGAGTGAGAACACCGCTCTGTGGAGTAAAACTCCCAACTGTACCCTATCATCCTTCCCCTCAGTACCTTAAGCTGGTCCGGCTAAAACTGCTTTTGTGGAAAGAACCGAATCCAATCGGATCCAATCCAATACAGCTTTGTTCATATTGCGCTTTCGCAACAGCTGCAGCTGGAACAAAGCGCTTTATGGAAGAGGTAACATCATATAACATAAGTTTGAAAGTAAACAAGCCACTGTCGCGTCCACTGACGAAGATGGATTCACTTCTGTTACCACGCAAATCCGCTTCAATTCCGAGCGCCGACTCTCAAGTCCAAATAGACATCCGCGTGCCCCGCCGACGCTCCTCTCTCCTCAGCCATCCATCCAGCCGCGCCAAAGAAGACTCTCCAACAGCGCCGACATCTCCGCTAAGAAAAATGGGGCTGTGAAAAATGCTGGCCAATACACATATTTTATACCATCGGAAGACAATGAGGAATTTGTGTTATTCAAGCTGCTTTACATGTTATGCATTTGGGATGTATTGTCCATTTCCCGAACACGACACGCCCTCCCACGCATGCCTTCCGATGAATTCAATTTCAAGTCCTGATAACGTGTGTCATTTTAGAGTCGACGTTTCTCGTTCATTCCGCCGATCCCTCTCTCGTCTACCAGTAGTACCCGTGAATGGTCATGTGGATCTGAAGACCAGCCTGACTCCTCCACTGATTACCCACACGGCAGCCACTCCGATGCCTATACCGAAGTTGCCCATTCTGGGTGACCCCATCCAGGGCTACGAGTCCCGCCGAGGCAGCAGTGTCTCCATCGACCCAACCTCCTATGACAAGTCACCGGTTAGTGTCTTACATATGTCAAAACCCACTTTCAAATGATAATAAATGCCATTATAGGAACAAAAGAGTTAAGATGCAACTTGAACATTTCCCCCACATCAGTAGTTGTTGGTGTAAAGGCAGTGCGTCCTAATTGTCCGCATAGTGAATGTGTAAATGGACTCGTGACAGGCACTCAATTAATGTCGGTGTGTCAAAACGATTGACGGCTACAAATTAGCTAACCCAGCGGGACAACCACGGCGAAGTCCATTTCCGTCAGATTCACGCAGTTTCTTTTCATTTTGATAAGATGATGACGGACAGATGAACTAAGTAATTAATGAGAGCTTTGTAAAACAAGCAAGCGTATCCACATCGGCTCTTGACCGTCAGTCAACGCCTGTATCCCAATTCCATACCCGTCAAGCACATCGAGCTTTGTTGCTTTGCACGGCAGACTTCAAAAGGAAGTCAGGGCTCAGGTAATGACCAATCACGGCTCACCTGTTTTCTGCACCTCAGCCGTGATTGGTTGTTACTTGAGCCCTCAGCAACTATGATGCCATTTTCAGTTGAAAATGGCAAAATTTTGGGGTAGACTTCCCCTTTAAACGGCACACTTGTATGTTTTCATCTCAGATGTATTCAACTTGTTTTTTCTTCTTTTCAATGAACTCAAAAGACCAGTGCTCGGAGTGCTTCCCCTTATGCACATTGGAGCACCAGTAGTGGCCGCAACAGCCGCCGATCGAGCTGGAACAGCCTTGGTCGCGCCCCGTCCCTCAAACGCCAGAAACGGCAATCTGGGGAGCGACAGTCCCTTTTATCGGAAGAAGGTGGCTCGAGCTCCGAAGAAGGTGAGGCTGGAGGAGAGGGAGGAGGCGGATTGATGGAGGACGACGACGCCTCCTTGGCCAGGACGGACTCCATGTCCCAGTCGAAGAGAGAGCCGCGTCACCGGAGGATGGAGTCGATGGAGACGCGGAGCTCCATGGATTTGCCTCCTGATGCCCTCCTGCAGGTACATCACAACCTTAGCAAAATATCAGTCGAGATGTTTTGCCTCAAATTTTTGTTTTTCATTCCCATTAGCACTTCATATTTACACACTGTTCCCTATCCTGGTCTTCTCTTCATGCAGGTTCCATATCTATATCGCTCAGCTAGTATGCACAGCTCCAGACCCCCTTTACCGGGTACCTTCCGGCCTGCAGAGCATCGCGACTGTAATGGGAAGGGCACGCCCTCACTTTTGGCCCCCACGCATGTCTCGTTGGAGGAGAACGCTGAAGAGGAGAACGCTGAGGAAGACGCCAATCTGGTTTGTGTCCATGCGTGCACATTGCAAAAATTCTTACCAAGCTGACAATCTCGGCTGTCGCTGCTTCCTTGTGACGTGTCTTCATGAACTATTTTGATTGTATTTCAGCAACACAATAAAAGCTCAGCTCGGGTACTGTCTTGAATTATGAAATGTTCATGTTGAGAATCAAGCTCCCGTAATAAATGAATGTCAGATTCCACTAAAACACAGATATGGCTTCGTGTTGACGAAACTCGGTCACTATGTTTATGTAGACTTGCTTGAGAATTCCAAATGGCTTTCTCACTACTTGATTTGACATGAATAATGAAGACGCTTTGCGTTCCCGCAGGGTCGTCTTGCCAGATTGTTTCGCTGGCTCGAAAAGAAACAACCGGAGTGGTGTCGACAAAGAGACACCTGGTCGCTCTACCTCTTCTCGCCGGAGTCAAGGTTCGTCCTCGTATTTCACATTGTCTGCACATTTTCTACTCTGTTCTATCCTCAGCTGTGTTGTTGTCGCTAAAGTAGTACAAACTTGACATCTTTGAGAAATCCTTCGGCATGTTGACTGTTTTTCTAAAGGAAACTCCTTCTGAATGCAGGGAAAAGCTGATAACTCAGCCCTCCACTTGACAAGAAGGGGATTTCGCGTTGCTTCTGACTGACATCGTGTGCTTTTGATTTCAAAGAGCGCGCGGCGGTCTATTTATTTATTTATTTACGCACGCCGCTCCCCAAACCATTTTATATTCCGTTCCAAAATTCTGCCTTCAGAAGCATCTTTTATCCGTCTGTTTCTGCCACGTCAGGGGGTGAGTTAGCAGGAGCAAAGGGAGTTTCTCTTTCAACGTGGTGCGTGTTATCTCAGTCACGTGCAGAATCCGTTGCCCTCTTTCCCTCCCCTCCGCCGCATCCTCTTTCTTCACGCCTCCTCCCCTCCTGGGGGCTTTAATCCATCCGTAGCCGCCGCGTGTTTCGGGGGCACGGAGGATGAAGTTTACAACAAGTAACGCAGTGGCCCCTGGTGCAAACACTGCGTCGGAACAGTCCCATTTGAAGCAATTACGTTCAACAAACGGCGTCTATCAACTCGACATCACAGAACGCGGAGATCACTTGAGCTTGCTTTGTGCTTGCTGATGTCACTGCTTCATTGGAGCAATAGTCGTAGTGAAAGTGGAGCGGTCCATCACTTCTGTGCTTGTGCATATGGTGTCCTCCATAGCGCGTAATAAGATTACGTGAACTGAACTGAATAAAGTCGACTATTTTAACAGCAGATAAGATGATGTCAAGAATTCAGTGGTTTGGTCAATCGGTAATTACAGCGCGTATGGGATTTCAATTATTGGGCAGCAAAAAAAAAAAAAAAGTCATGATCTGTTTTCAGTCGTTGCTTTCACTGAAAGCAATTGTCTTGAATTATTATTCTGAAAGTGACTGGTATGATTTAACCCCTTCATGCACAAATAATGAGAACCTGAGAAGCTGTCCACTATAGTAACCGCTGTCCCTGAAAGTGTTGATGTCGCTAAACGGATACTTACAAGCCCTAAATGTAAATGAAAGCAAAATAAAGAAATTTAAGTCAAGCGGGTGGCAGCGAACACGCAGCAGTTAGGTAAAAAAAAAAAAAAAAAAAAAAAGACTTCAATATGTATTCGCTGAGAGTTTACTGTCAAACTAAACATGAAACAAAGACAATTCCACCTGGTGTATTTCACCAAACCACCTTTAGTGCTCCCACAAAGGTCCTCAAATTTAATGCTAGCAAAACGCCACAGATGCACCGACGACCGCGGCGCAGCAATTGTAAACATCGTTTTATGATGAGGTTTCCAGTGTCATCTTCCCCTGTAAGTTCAAATGAACCTCAGCGGTTCATTCTTAACTACAAGCGAAACATTGTTGGCGATTGTTAAACGAGACAGCGACTGTGTGTTTCTATCAAAGGGAAATTAGACTTAGCAAGCTTGTGATGCGGCATGAATAATGATCAGTCGGATGACACAGATATTCGCGCAGGCTTTGCAACTTGACACAATTGTGTCTCTGTTGCCAAATAAAGCCGTAAATCCAGATCTAAGCCTCATAGTTTTGTACGTCAATGTACACTTACAGCAAAGTTGATTTGTTGCAATTTAATCGCAAGACATTCTTGTGACCACAGAGTCTGGTTTTTGGGGGGTGGGGGTGGGGTTGGATCAGACATGGTTGGATCTCCTCATCTTCATAAATCTCTTTGTTCATGTCGTTAAATTTGATCGATGTTGCCTTTTCCGCAGGTTTCGTTTCGCGTGCAACAAGATCATCAACCACAAGATGTTCGACCATGTGGTGCTGGTTATCATCTTCCTCAACTGCATTACGATCGCGATGGAGCGGCCTCGCATCGACCCCGCCAGTGCCGTGAGTCTGGACAAAGACTGCGTAAAACTGTCAGCGTGAAAAGTGATATCGACTGGAAGAAAGAAAAACATTTGAAAAGTCATCCATACTCATGTGACGGGGGGGGGGATTCATCCTGACCCAGAATCTCTTCTGTACCCCGGGAGGAAATTAAGATGACGTGATTTAAACGGCTACCAAATTCCGGCATCGTGTAAATTTGTAATTGAACCTTTACCCCTTTTCATGGTGAATCATCGAAATGTCAAACTTTGACGCCACGGGCAAAAATTCTTTGCAACTGAATCCACCGTATTTTAATGTGATCAGTTCTTTTCGAACTTGTCAAGGGGCGTTACTGAGTGACATTTTGGCGGGGTGTTAAATTGGGCACCCATAGGCTATATACATTTTTACTGCAATATAAATATGTCCCAAAAAATGGAAGCTTTATGTTATATGTTTCACCTACTTTCCTCGCTTTTTTTTTTTTCTTTTTTCCAGCAATAGCTGCAGAACGCAGACTGGCCGTTTTGTACATAAACACAATAATTATCTCCGTGATGATTATTATCGTTCTCCCTACTGAGCGAGGTGTTCCGCAGATAGCTTTGATTGTGGTTTGGTCTCGGCAGATCGCGCCATTGTGCTCGTTTTGTTTGCGAGCCGCAGAGGAGACTGTGCTGTCTTAACTGATTCAATTATCTTTGTGCTGCCGTTCGTGGCTAATGTCCAAGAAAGGGGATGTTGAACACATGGAAGCTGCCCCCTTAACGCCACTGGGGCACATCAGAGCAAAGGCATTTGCTTATGCAAATGATTTGTCTGCAACTACACAAATGTCCATAGCCTCAGTGATGCTGACACATTCGCATTACTCGGTCTGTAAAAAAATCTCATTTGCACGGGCGACGATGGCCTGAGCTGTTTTATGTACGGCTTTTAATAGATTAATGATGCCAATTGGGAATCCATTTTTTTTTTTCTATTACAGTTTGGTTGCGTCAAACCAAACATGTATAATGGATGAGTCGTCTGCTTATGCATTCATACTCCGTAACTTGAACTCAGCCGCGATGCCAACCAAACAAAACAGAACAAATTTTTAGATTCATGTCATGAAAGGTTGGTCGTCATTAATATTGTTGGAATCCAAAAGTTGGTCGAAATGCGTGATGTCGTCGGGATAATCAGATTCTTGCGACTTGTTGCTCGATGTTGACTTGATGCGGTCAACATCCAGCTCAGAGGAAGCGCTTGGGAAGATGATTCCATTTATTATGCATGACTTCCAACTGAGCAAAAGGACAATCCGTCAATCCCGGATCCGCAAAACAGCAGTGAGGTTGTTCCAGATTCCATGATATTTGAAATCTTACCAAACAGAAGCTGGAGCAATTGCAGCCGATTACCTTCTGGAAGTGAGTTACGGCGCATCGTAACTCTGCCCATAAGTCATCATCGCCTTTCAAAACCAGGTCAAGCTAAAATGAGCACTTCATCATGATAGTCGATCGCCACGTCGCACTGGACTGAAAGCATCCGTCGGAAACAAATTCCATGCGGGATTTAACGTAGCGCTTCTTCTCTGAGCCTTATCGTGGGGCTAGTTGTGTGGGGGCTTTACGTCCCTGGTAGGGTCACCCATGGGGGACCAAACAAAATCCTCCTCGACTTGACCTTTTGACACTTTCTTTCATAAATTTTTGGCCGTCCGTTTGTTCAGTGTTTCCCGCTTCTTTTTCAGTGCCTTGCTTTATTTAGATTCCAATTTCGCTTCATAAATAAATCAATTCCTCATTCTTACAAGCTAGAAGTGTGAAGATGAATGGTTGCTTTCCAAGCCCGGAATGTATGAGTCATCTTAGCGAGCAAGTATTCCCATTTAGGTCATGCCTAACATTCCCAGAGTCTGAAGCGGGACTGCCACGATCTGTGTCAGTGCGCGTGACGTTGCCTTGCTCCGAGCATTTGCGATGGCCGACGGGGGGCCGTGGGAAAGGCGATACCTACACACACACTTGCGGACATTGCGAAGCAGACATGTCAACTCGGGTCTTTCCAGATAGAAAAGGAATTAGGTTAAATAAGCAGCTTGTGAAAGGCGTCTTATTTGCACTTTGTACTTTTGGAGCGCAGTTTAAAAAAATAAAATTAAAAAAGAAAAAGCTCCCATCCCTTCCCCATCCCACTCCACTGTCATTTCGGCACGCTGCCTCCGGGCAGGAAGGCAATCTTGGGAGCACTGTATTGTAAACATAAATAGAACAAAATTCCACATTTTGCATGGAGAGTCAAGATTAGTGGAAAGGGTAAATCAAGTTTTGCTCTTTTCTTCCGGCCATAATTTGTTAGCGCAATGGATGCCCATGCGAGATGTTTTTTTGTTTTTTTTTTGTAAAGTGTTTCCCCATTTCTCTCTCGACAGGAACGGATCTTCCTCACGTTGTCCAACTACATCTTCACAGCAATCTTTGTGACCGAGATGACCATCAAGGTAAATCCGTCTGTCTTTCTCTATCATCGATCGATACTAATCAGCAATAGTTGAACCCGTTCGGGGACAGCGGTTACTACAGTGGATATGTTATCATGTTGATCAGGTTACAAGGTGCAGGAAAGGGTTAACAGCGATGATAGCGTTCTGATTTGCGGTTTTCCTTCCATCACTGACTTCTGCACTATTGTTGACTTGTCAAGATGTCCCCGATTCAACAACATGGGACAACTGTGGCCCAGAGTAAGAATGCCGGCAACCCCTAAAATAACGCGACAGCCTTATTTTCTCAACGATTTGCATTGAATGGCCAAACCAGGCCGAAACTACTCAAACATTCATCGAATTTCGATCTGCCGAAACACACAAAACCTGTATGTTTATGGAAAGAGTGGAACAGGGAAGATTAGGGTGCCGCAGAATCCCTGTCAGTGCCGTTTCATCGCATCGGACTGCCTTGCCGGGATTCAAATGGCTCATCTTGTCAAACTTTTTGTGCGTCACTCATTCATTGCCTTTTGTTTCTATTTTTGGACCCTCTGCGATTACTCGGCATGCAAATATTAGGCCTGAGCACTCACTCGCACAAATATACACACAGTTCGCCTTGTCAAGTGATTCCTGGATGAGTAGTAGCAAAACACACCAGCTGTGTTTTCCCACAACATAAATCGGAGTTTATTTTCCCATTCAACTTGAGTTACGATTGTTTCCAGTTGGGAATGGCAACGTGTCAATTTACTCAGTGTAGTTTCCGAAAAGGTAGAGCTTGATGTGGCGTGCCCACCATCTCACCTCTGTCGTACACCGCATTTATGAATGTACTGCTCATCTAAATAGGGTGCCCTCAATTGGAGTTTTCTTCCTGATCCAAAGCAACAGGGTGAAATCACACGGTTGTCGAGGTCAACGGTTTTGTGAACGCCGCCTCTTTACCAGTCAACATTTCCACGGAGATGCCCGTAATTTTTAAGTAGAAGGAAAGCTCTTTGATGGATAGTCATACATTATTCATGTACAATATGCTATATGCTCTGCGTTGCCGTGCACCGTGATGACGACAACTATACTAAACCGTCTTCCCAATAGAACGCATGGAATAAAAATAGTTTGGCCTGGTTTAAAGTTGAATGGGGTCAGGCCATCACTGTAATTATTTCCAAGAAAGTTAACTTGGATCACGGGCGGAATAAATGTTTCTCGCCAAGCTGCGAGTAAACAGTTGTTTGATAAATTCAATAAACTCCGCGCGTAGGATACGAAGCTTCCGCTCTATGTAAATAAATGAGCGCTTGAGAAGAAGCAACGCAACTCTCTGAGGATAACTGTCAAAAAGGGAGTACCTTGAAAGCGTACAGGCCCAGTACGTTTTTTTTGATCATTTTATGTATGACTTTTAAGGGGAGGGGTGGGGGGGGGGGTTACCTCGTTGCTTATTGTCATCGTAAATTACCGTGTCGTGTTTTTTTTGTTTTTTCGCTGCTGGAAATTAGGCCACGTTTGTGAGCGATGTTGTTTCATTAGTGGATGTGCTCATGTTGTTGGCTAAGTGCAAAATTCTGAAGGCTCACCCTTGACGGGAATGAGGACAAGCGTTATTTCAACTCATCCATTGCTAGGCCACGGTAAAACAATGGACCTTTTGACTTCTATAGCCGTCAATGGCAGTTAAAAAAAAAAATCAGAAATAAATGTCTGTGTTTCCTTATTACGAACATATTGTGATTTGCTCTGCATATCATCTGTCTTTCTGTCTCTTTGTGTCCAGATTGTAGCTTTGGGTTGGTGCTTTGGCGACAAGGCCTATCTGAGGAGCAGTTGGAACATTCTGGATGGGATGTTAGTGATGATATCTGTTATCGACATCCTGGTCTCTTTTTTTTCCAACTCGGGTACCAAGATCTTGGGGATGCTCAGGGTGCTGAGGCTCCTGCGTACTCTAAGGCCTCTGCGGTGAGTGACGTTAAAAAGTTATAAATCCACCCGAGAAGCTTGAGACATGACATGATTTTAACGTAAATATTTGTGGAATTGGTGATGAGTCATGTAATCAGGATCAATGCGCACTCGGGGTGGGACTTTAACTGCGCGCTGGGCACTTCGTTTCGACGGCCGCACAATTCTCTCCAAAGGCATGTGCTCTGCTTTATTTAATCCCCGGAGGCCAGTCAAACCGGCCGCATTACCGTCAGGTTGGTGAGGTCTTAGAGTCAGATTCGAAAGTGGCTTTTACAAGAGAAAATTGGGCAACGTTTAATTTTGGCGGGGGGAGAGCAAAAGGGCACAACCGGCTCTCAGCCGAAGCCGATGTGTCCTTTTCACGGCAAAGGCAAGATGGCAGCATGTAAAATAGGATTAGGCAGACTGTGTGAGGGCGGGCAGAGAGAGACAAAAAGAAACGGGGAGCGACAAACAGGAGAGGACAGAAAATAAATGAAGAGGAAAGAGCGGAGTTTAGTGCATTCACACTGTGCTCAATCGAAGTGGCGGATGACTCGAGACTAGACGGGACTGCATTCATCAATTTTAAATGGGCGCAAAGTTCTGAGGATATTGGGAAGCTTTTTGTCCGGCCTACCTTTCATACTCGCCTTTACTTCTTCCTCCAGAATCATTGCCCTGAACTATAACTGCGAGAGAATTCATTCGCTGGGTTTAAAATGATTTCGGAAACCTGTTTTTTTTTTTTTTGCTGATCTCTGTAATATCACAATTTTTGGTCATGTTAATATATATCATTGGCCAATTCTAAAATGTAAATCCGCATTCAGATTATGATTCATCCCCGCTGTGTGTTTGAATTAAAGTTCGCAAAAAACCGACGAAACCAATTTTCTGCAACTGCGTGGTCAGGTGGAGCATAAAACAAAGTTAGAACCCCATTAAAACCTTGATGCCGCTCAACAAATGCGCTTCTTTGAGTGAATAATGCATGATTTCTAATAACTCCAGGCTCGTAAAGCAGGTCGGGGTATCTCAGAGGGTGTATGACCTGGGTACTAATCCAAAGTACTCTACCTTGGCTCTCTCTCCTGACGACTTTGTAGTCGTTCAGAATTCCGCAAGGGGCTCATTCACCGCTGTTGACAATATGATGCACCTGCTTGAAGTGAACACGCGCGCGCGCGCGCAGCCATCCATCAGCCTCCGAGTCAGGGACGAAGGCCATGTCTTTAAAGCGAAGTCGGGAATTAAAACCCCGCATCACCGAATTGCAATCGCATGTCACGCATCGACAGACGAGCCAAGAGGCTCCCAATTCAACCGCGCCGTTCATCATTCGTTTTCTCACACGTCACAAAAGCGCGGTCGTAATGTTGTTGGAAGTTCGGTGCTGACAAACAGTTGAGAGAATCCCCAACCCCCTCACGGTTAACCCCCGTCGGTCCGACCTTTGAACTCATCCATCACTTGATGAAGATGTCACTGGGCGCTGAATGTGTTTGCCGGCTTGCGTTTGGGACTGCGATGACTCCTGGCTGTGACAGAGGTGACTGCCGCCTGTTAACTTACTGCACGATTAACTTTTTTTTCTTTTTTTTTTTTTTAATAAGGCACACGCATGACACAATTATGTTGTGTGTGACAGGAAATTGTTTTTTTCCTCCTTGAGAAAAACGCACAGGGCCTAAGTTTGACAGCTGAGGACTGATTGGTGTCACAACGGCGAACAAAGGGAAATTCATCAATAGAATGCATCAAGGAGAAAGTTTTTTTTTTTTTTTGAAGGGAAACGAGCAGCTGCTTCATTTTGGATTCTCTGTCGAGCCGTTCGCCCTACTTCCTTTGCTCCCTTTCTTGTTTCTGTCTTGCTGAGTGAGTCGCGTAATTACATCCAGTGTTTACACTGTGGGGAACAAGCGAGCCTCTTATTGCTCCACTTGTTGGTCTCTTTTTTTTTTTTTCTTTTTTTGGGGGGGGCGGTGTCAAGGAAGTGCAGCTGGAGGAGAGAAGGTAGTGTGTGCAAAAAAAAAAAAACAGCCTCTCGCTTGCTCTTTTTGTGTCGCTCGCAGAATAAGAGCACATTGTGAATTCTAATATTATACCGACAGATACAGAGAGATGAAAAACTTTTCCAGCTTGAGATTCAGTCTGGCATTGACCGTATTGGGAGTCTCGTCGATTTTATTCAGAGTACCTCCACTTTCGGATGCTCAAAGGTTTTTGGAATAGAGAACATCATTTTTTTATTATAAATGTTTCAAAATCGGGCAGCATGGTGGGTGGGCGACTGGTTAGCACGTCCGCCTCACAGTGCAGAGGTCCAGGGTTCGATTCCGACTCCAGCCTTCCAGTGTGGCGATCAATCAGTTCTTGTTTAATTGGTTCGGCAAATCACAATGAAATGAAACGTCTTTAAACGCTCAGTCCAATTTAATTCGACTTGTAATTTATTCCGGCAATTAAAAAAATCCTATTCCCACTTGGCAGCGTCAGATAAAACAAAAATCGTTCATTTTACAATCGGTCATAAATAGCTATTGAGAAAGTAGGTAGCGTTAGCACGTGGCTGTGATCACATCGATCGCTGCGTGTCGGAAACTGTTCCGCTTTCTCCCGCTTCAAAAGAACTCAGAGGTGCAAACTGATGACGTTTCAGCCATCGGCTCGCTCTTCTCCGATCAGTTGCAATCGATCAGTGGCCTTGGTCAGCACTGACTCCTAATTCTGCCATGTCCTCTCAAAATGTGCTATTGACTCTCCCTTCGCTCAAATGTCTACTCCGGGGAAAACATGCTCCAAGAACAAAGCCTGCAAGAAAAGATCTGTACAGATTAGCAACCCAAGCCTTTTTTTTTTTTTGCGGTCTATCTTTTTTTTTTATTTTATTTTATTTTTTTGTCTTTATGCCTTTGTTGTGTTTCCACGTGATCTAATAACTGCCGTCTATCAATGCCATGTACCGTCTGTGTCACTGCTGTTATGTGTGGATTTTCAAAGGATACGGCACATGCTTGAGACAGCGGTGATGTTGGGATTGGATTTTCTGCCGCAAATGTGATAGGTCATTTCAATTTTGACTGTGTGCGTAACTTCTGCCCACATTCTTAAATTGGGTGCATCAAAACTGGCTGTTCGCCATCCGCTGTGCTGCGCATGCCCTTTGGGGGGGGCGCTGGAGGTAAGAGTCCGGGTGTGACTGGGTCGCATTTAGTATTCCATAAAAAAAAGGGTGACAAGTATTCAAAAAAGTTCAACTCATATTAGGGTTCCCCTGGTGCTGAAAAAGAGGTTTTGAAAATGACGTGACTGGAACTGGATGACGGGTTATCTTTTCCTTGCATTTGGTGTCACTTCAGAATTACATTTTGCCAAAGGATATCATGGGAAAAAAACAAACACCCAGGCCAATGACGAAAAAATGTGAACGCTACACTAAAAGTGAGCTTTGACGTCAAGTTAGGGGATGGACCGCATAATGCCATCCTGTGGGCCTCAAACGGCCCCCGGCCCGCAGGTTGGAGATAGAGTTCTACTTATATGCTTTGTGTTTTAGTGTCATCAGCAGAGCGCCGGGTCTCAAACTGGTCGTGGAGACCCTGATGTCTTCACTGAAGCCCATCGGCAACATTGTGGTCATCTGCTGTGCCTTCTTCATTATCTTTGGCATCCTTGGTGTCCAGGTAAGTGCGACTATGACAAATTAAACGCCTTGCACTCTACTACAAGAAAATAGGGTTGGAAAAAAACGATTGAGAGAATTAATGGCAAAGATTTCGGCTTGTTCTAGACCACGCCAAGCTGCTACCAAGGAGTATTTAGGCCCAAAAAAGAAAAGTTCACTTGTGTGATAAAAGTTGTGACAAAGAGTCATTTTAATTTTTATGAAGATGAAGAAATTATTGCTGAAGGAAAAAAAAAAAGACAATTTTATGGGAGCAAATTTTAATGAGTACATATAAAAACTTCCATATAAAAACACAAGAGACCAAGCAGCTGCGCTTATTTTTTTTTGGAGACCGAACAGGATGTGAAATTTCAGTTGACAAGTCACCTTTGTGCGGCACCTGGCAACAACTTATCGGTAAAATATTGAAGAGCAAAGATCCACTGAGATTCAGAATCCATTCAGCTGACCTTGTCAAAATCTGTTCGTGTCCCTTCCACAGCTCTTCAAAGGCAAGTTCTTTGTTTGTCAAGGAGAGGATGTCAGGAACATCACAAACAGGTCGGACTGTTTACAAGCCAGTTACAGATGGGTCAGACACAAGTACAACTTCGACAACCTGGGACAGGTCCGAACTTTATTGACAACCATTGGACATATTGAGGGGAAGTTTTAAAAGCTTTTTCAACGTCTGCATCAATTTCAAACGTTCTCGTTATCAGGCCTTGATGTCTCTATTTGTTCTGGCGTCCAAAGACGGCTGGGTGGATATTATGTACGATGGACTAGATGCCGTCGGGGTAGACCAACAGGTACCGATCCGTCCCCTAAAGTCTTTGATGAGATGGATCATGTGTCTGAAACCCCCCCCCCCCGACGTATTATGCCTCCTCCCGTGTGTTTCAGCCAGTGATGAACTACAACCCGTGGATGTTGCTGTACTTCATCTCCTTCCTCCTGATCGTGGCCTTCTTTGTGCTCAACATGTTCGTGGGCGTGGTGGTGGAGAACTTCCACAAGTGTCGGCGCCACCAGGAGGCGGAGGAGGCCAAGCGCAGGGAGGAGAAGAGACTGAAACGCATGGAGAAAAAGAGACGGAGTAAGGAGAAGGAGCTGGCTGGTCGGTAGTCTTTCCACATCTTTCTGAGTCCTGCTTGGTTTGAGCCTGAGCCTTTTCTTTTTCTGTTTGCCTTTTGGTTTGGCCGAGTTTGGATGAACGTAGTTGGTGGTCTAGCACCAAAAGTTTTTTTTTTTTTTTTTTTTATGGTGGTAGAGCCCTCTTCCCCCCCTTCCCGAAAGCCCTCTCGTGTCTCGACCTGTGGCAATTTTTCTTACAGTCTCGTGGTCACTTGCTCTGAAACTCCCTTTGAGACTCTGGCTGCCTTTTTCCTTCAACTCCAACTTCAAACTGATCATGAAGTTGGACTTCAAAGACAGCTACCCCACGAAAAGAGTCTGTTTGCAGAGTGAGGAAAAGACGACAGACAATTCTTGACCCCCCCCCCCGTCCTGCCTTAGCTTGCCTGTCTACTGGAGACATCATGCTTGGGTTGGAGCATGCCCGTTGGGTTCCTACGGACGGGGCTTGCATGGAGGTTACAGAGCTAGAGGGAGGGGGGAGTTGCTGGTCATTAATTGCCCTGATCTAAAACAAGATGCCCCCCCCCCCCCCCCCCCCCCCCCCCCCCCCCCCCCCCTCCCTTCCCCTCTTCTTGCATGTTGTTTTAGTACAGCCGCTGGGGCAGGGATCAAACAAAGCTTGAAAGATGTGGTCTTAGATCACTGGAAGACATTTCGAGGCTAAATCACCCCCTAGCCCCGCCCCCTCCCCTTCGGCTGTATTAGAGGAGTCGATGACATACTGCTTGAGTGGTTTCGTGTAATTCCACTGCCTCTTAAACCTAAAACGCACGCTGGCGTCCGCTAGCGTTGAAAAGTGCCTTTCTAAGAATTACAAAGATCCAGAGGCGCTTGTTGGGTACGTAGCCACAAAGGAGCAGTGGACTCGAGTGTCCGAAAAGCTGAAGAAATGATTCGTTACGATGTACGTGCATCTCCCTTGAGAAATACAGATGACTTCATGTTCCTAGCTGAAAATTTGTGATCGTTGGGGGTGGCGAACGAACCCGACCCTTGCACGTTCCCGTCATAGGAGACCCATTGGTTTGTTTACAAACGACACAAAAACCTGGACTTCATCCCTCCTTGGAATCGTGGCAACCTTGGTTTGCTGATTCCTTCTCCAGACCTTTTTTTAATGGGCTATGAGGATAAAATGGCGGTCAGATGAAGGCGATTTTTTTTTTTAGCAAACTATCCAAGACAGAAAGGGAAGATTAGTTTGCTGGTAAAATCCACAGCGGTTACAACAGTGGGCGTCGGTTCATTTGAAAGAAGTTTCTTCCTTCTTCATCTCCGGATAAGAAAAAAAAAAACAAAACTAAGAGGTAGCGCTAACCCAAAGAACTGGACTCAGAATCACTGGAAAGACAAAATTAGAGGCCCCATCAACCAGCTGAAGTCTTTCACTGCTTCCTTCTGGTCTTACTCCATCCCTCTTTCCCTCTTTCTCTCTCTCTGCCTCTCTTCTATCTGTCCTTCCTTTTCTTTCTTCCTTCTCCCGCTTCCTGACTAACATCGTCTCGTTCCTCTAGATTTAATGGTTCCAGGGGTGAGTTGGGCCCTCTCTGAAGGCACATTAAAAGGTACCCCGTTTCCCAGCATGCTCTGTTTTTGTCCCTTAAAACTCCTCGCACTGCCACCGACCATGACCACCCACCACGGAGGCAAAGGTTCTAAGTTCAGTAGTCACGGGAGGTAGGGTCCCATCACGCGTTGCCGCCCTCCTGCCTCTCTCCCATCAGCCGTTTGCTGTTTGTTTTTTTTTGTTCTTTTTGTTCCTGTCGTGACTTTGTCTTTCACAGCTCTCTAACACTGTCTGCGAACCATTCCACTGTCCACTTCACCACGGTGCGCGCCGGCCCTCATAACACGACGATCGCTGCGCTCTTTGGAAATTGTTATCGGAGACAAACTGTTGAAACTTGTCATTGAACCGGCGGAAGGGAAAGCATTTGAAGTGTCGTGTGTCAGCTGCTTTATTCACCTTCGAAGTGCCATTTTCGACGGTGTCGACCAAAGTGCCGACGGTGACGTTTAGATTTCAGTCGACGCCAAATGTTGTCGTCGCGGTCCATTGTGGAGAGAAATGAAGCCAGGAAATATGTGCGAGTTATCACCGAGATGTCTTAAACGATAAGGAAATGTACCCATTATTATTTCGAGTCATTTTCAATGCGTTTATGGAGGCCAGTCAGGGCACATGCAATATTCCTGTAATATAAAAAAAAAAAAAAAAAAAAAAATCAATGCTTCCTGCCAGAAAGCCCAAGCGTGTACTTGGGTTCGGTTTTTGCCACGGCCACCCCAAAAATCAGGACAATTGAAATGGCAAATGACTTGCAACCCATTTGCATGCACTTTTATGTAAATGGAGGCATGCATCCATGTATAGCTGTAGTTTATCTATTCATTCTTTCTGTCCCACCCCAACTGTTTTTTTCTCGCTCTCTCTCTCTCTCTCTCTCTCTCTCTTTTTCTCAAACTACAATCACACAGTCTGATACACACACACACGGTTTCGAACTGAATCTGGGTCAGTGCTAACAGAGATAAATCGAAACAGGAAGTTTTGCATTGACTTTCTTTCTGCCTTCCACTCCTTCACGGGACACGTAATTTATGGCACTGGTTCTTCGCTCTCTCTCTCTCTCTCTCTCTCTCTCTTTTTCTCAAACTACAATCACACAGTCTGATACACACACACACACGGTTTCGAACTGAATCTGGGTCAGTGCTAACAGAGATAAATCGAAACTGGAAGTTTCGCATTGACTTTCTTTCTGCCTTCCGTTCCTTCACGGGACACGTAATTTATGGCACTGGTTCTTCCCGGACTTGAGGAAAGGCGGCAAAAGTCTCTCAACAGCGTACGAATATCGACTCGGAGGAGTTTCTCGAGGTTACAGGTGCTCAGGGCGTAATGTCGATGCCACAAGGTGCAACGTAAACTTATTTCGAGAGTGTAGGACGTTTTATGGGGCGGGTCCAACGAATGTTTTAAAAACTGTCCTCGCTTGGCAGGTAGCCAGAAGGTGAAAGAGGCTCGCACTCCATTTTTTTCGACAATAAATTGTTTCAGCGTTCCAAAGAGGCATAGAAAGGGTCGTACTCAGCCACGTGATATATTGTTGTAATATCCGTGAAATTAGTGAATGAGGCTCATAGTCCTGTGGATACAGTAAATATTGGCAGGACTGACTAAATTGACAAAGTGTACTTTTCTGAAGTGACAACAGATCAGACCAATATCGGCGATGGCTGTTCTTGTCATGTTTCGTTTATCTTGATGTTCGAAAAATAGAATATGAGATTCTTAGGATTTTATTTCCCCTAAACATTATGTATGCTCGTATCAACGCTAACCAGTTCTAAATATCAATATATTTAAGCGTCACACATCAATTTTTTATTTTTTTTTTTTGCCTCCCCAAAATGAATCTATTCTTAACCTGGAAATCTCGGCATGAGCATGTGTGCATGTGTAACCACCTCCCTTAAAAATTTGCATCGTCAAGAACAAAGGTTTGCCTATTGAAGCAGTAATTATTTTCTTGAAATCATTCTTATTTTCATTTGATTCAATAGGAATTTCAACAAATGACAGAACATGACTTCCCATAGCCAAATCATTCGAAACTCTTGTGAGAACAGTCGCCAGTGTACGATTCAGTATATTAAAACGCTCATGAGTTGGAGACATTAAGGTCTTAATTCATACCTGTCAATGATTTTGAAAAATTCACTCAAAACAGTAAAACAAAACGACTAAATCGCAGGTAGCGGTATTTAAAAAAAAAAATTATTTTATACCACCATACCTCAGAAAAAAAAAAAAAAACACGACGGTGCAAAATTGACGTTTCTGATCGTGCGGCCGACAATCAAGCAAAATTTTTCAATCGTCAACTTTGTAATCTTGACCTTTGAGATTAGCTCTGCCATCGCTGTGAAGCGCCTTGAATGATATTAAGTAGTCATGGATTGATGATTTCTAGTTTGTGGGAAAGTGACTTCTGGTTGAAATGAGCTACTGTATGTGTCCAGTACAGCCAGTAACACCATTACTGTTCTAAAAAAAAAAAAAAGGCTTCCCATTGTTTTGTGCCTTGTCATCGCCGCTATCCCTGTTCCTCCGCCCTCCACTCATGCTGCCCAGTCGTTTTTTTCCTTTGCCATCCAACCTCACATTTCAGTTGGTTCATTGCTCAAGTATGACTCAGAAAGAGGTGTCAGTCTGCCATGCAAAACCAGCCGAACGTATGTGTGTCGTGTCTGCCGTGTGTACAAAGCACAACGTGGATCGGGGGGGGACGTGTCAACCGCGTGAGAAAGCACAATGTGTGTGTGTGTGTGTGTGTTTGTTTTGTGTGTGTCGTAAAGTCGAGATGAGTGTTTGTTCTCACGCCTTATGTCCGACTGATTCTATGTCTTTGTTTCTTTGATGCTTTCCCTTCTGGACTCAACAATTTGCTCTGCTGCTCCTCTCCACTTTGAGTCATGACCGGTGACGGCGTTTTCTTATTTGGTGTCCTTTCTTCTCTCCCTTTGTAGGTGTTTCCTCCTCCTTTGACATTTATCGAGCAAGGCAGCAGAGCATTTTGCAATTCCAGTTTTTGTTTTGTTTTGTTCTTCTTTTTTTTTGGTCAATGTTATTGTCTTCCCATGAATGTTCCTGTCAACAATTGTTTTTCGACTCTGTGTTTGCTGGATTTTCAAACCAGCCTTGCCAGTCTCGGACTCTGAAGGCAGACACAGAGTATAAAAGGTTTTACTACGGAGCCACGACGGAAAGAGGCATAAAAGCAGCTGCTCGCATGACGAGAAAGTCCAAAAATCTCTGATACGACATCGACTCATTTGCTTTGACTCTCCCTTTACGCAGCGCTGCTTTACATGCCCGCCTCTTCATTTCACGGCCATCCATATCATGACTATCATTACATTTCATTCCAAAGCACACGTTTTTTTTTTCCTTTTTTCTATTTTATTAAACTCATTCAGTACCAGCCAATTCTTAGACCAAGTCTGAAAAGACGTTTAAAAACGTCTTTGGGAGTGAATGAGTACCGCATTCGGAGGAGCTCCAGCAAAGCCATACCAGTATTGTATAGTTTTAAGTTTCATGATCAGAATCTAACTTGACACAACTTCCACATCCCTCAACCTTCTCTCGGCGCTCTCATATGATCACCCCATTTCGGGGCCACGTGCACTAATGTTCCCGAGCCATACGCCGCATAACCAACCTAACCTACGCTCACACCACACAGTCACAGTATAGCCACGGTGCTGTACTGTGCTGTTCTTTATTCATCAGTCCAAAAACACAATAAGAGTTACCATGTCTGTATTTCCCAAAAAAAAAAAAAAAAAGACCCTCTCGGAAATATATGGAGTATATTTTTGAGAGCGGCCACATCCAAAAGCAACTTCCAGACTGAGTCCACCTCAAGCATTCAGTCGTGAAACCTGTCTGGTTCGTCCCGACAGAAGTTGGAACTCCATGAAGAGAATGCTGAGGTCTTGCAGTTGTTTTTGGATCAGCCATACTATGCGCGAAGTGCTTTTCTTCATGTCTGTGGATGACCGTAGGCAGACCATCAGCAGGGGGCTCTTGGATCTATAAATATAGCAAACGATGCAGAAAATAAAAAAATCAAGACATTCATTTTCAATTTTATGGCTGACTTGAGCAGCCGTGGAAAATAAGTATATTCATGCAAGGTCAAGTAGAACAAACTTTGTCCTGTTATGTTAAAAAAATAAAAATAGAAGAGCCACAATTAGACCGAAGTCTCCCTCTAATAGTCTGTCCTGTTGAGTCGCCTATTTTTGTTGATTATTTTTTACTGAATTGGTATCAATGAAGATGCTTTTTAAAATGTGTGCAAAGAGGAAGGGAACGCTCATTGCCGGCCTCTCGGTCTTTTTTTTAAGACCAGAAAATTAGGATGCCAAATTGCCATTGGTCTTTTCTGACACACCTTGTGTTTCACATCAACTTTTAGACCCCCCCCCCCCGCCCCCCATCCCCGCTTCCCTGCTCAGTTGTACTGGAGCTGCTATAGCACCAGACCCTTGGCTAATTGGCTATAGAAGGAGAACTCGCAACACCCTGAGGACTTTTTTTTTTTTTTCTTTTGTCCTCCCTTTCACCGATGGCGCGATGAAGTGACTGACAGGTCAAGTGACCTTTCCCTTCCTCATTGGGGTTCATCCTGCCAACTTCTCCCCCGTGTGCCGGCAAGAATTGAGCAGCAAATGAATCTGGCTCTCTCTCCCATGTTAGGTCTTTGTCTTGAGAAGAGCGATGTTAAAAAAAAAAAAAGATGAGAGGAGATGATCAGAGGGACACAGTGAGAGCTGTTGAAACCTCCCGTTCAAATATAGCGGCACTTTGCTACTCCCTATAAAATCGGTCACTCCTATCGAGCAAAGGCCATGTAGCTCACGTCACATGGGAAGGACTTTTCTGATTGGAACGCTCATGCCAGCCAGCCACAGGAAGGTTGTCTTAAATCTCTCTGTGCTCTGCCCCGTGACTGATCTCCCCCACTCATCTGCAAATTTGTGGATATCAGATGTAATGCGGATTTGCGTGACGACTAACTGAACTTGTTTTTTTTCCCCAGATTGAACAGCGCGCTTCATAACACAGCAGGTCTAAATTACAGTGTCCCGTTGTATTGCTTCCTATCTCACTTTATGAATGCCACCTTCCCCATCCTCCTTCTTCAACGTACCCTTTCCCCACCACAATCCCCCCCCCCCTCCAAACCCCACTTTCAACAGAAGCTCAGAGTAAGCCCTACTACTCCGATTACTCCCCCACCCGTTTGATTATCCACAAGATGTGCACGAGCCACTACCTGGATCTCTTCATCACCATTGTCATAGGGCTCAACGTCATCACAATGTCCATGGAGCACTACCAGCAGCCGAAGGTCAGATGTGGTGGAGGAGGAAAGTGTGGTAATCATGTCAAAACTGATCACTGCCCAAGGATCGTTCCAATTTGGTCATAACTGCTCAATTTGGGTGGTGTTTTTTCTGCAATATTGTAGCTGGAGTGAGTCCAATACTTTCCATGTATTGAATGTCTATCAGCATTTTGGAGAAAAATCTTAAGAGTTAATTGTTAGTATTTTTCCGAATGCATTTCAAGCGGGCATCAATTATACAAAGATTTGGGGTATTTGTTCCTTAAATAGCGGACGTCGATTGTATAGTAAATTAAAAAAAAAAAAAAACAAAAAAAAAAAAACGATTGAATGGATCGGTCCAGCTTCTGATCAGTTTGGTGACTTTCTTTTTTTTTTTTTTTTTTTTTAACTCTGACCAATGATTGGCTCAAAAATTCTGATAATGTACAGCCTAGCTGGAGTAGAGTGACAGATACTTCAGAAATTTCCGACACATGCCTTAAAATATTTGACTACAATACGACAGATTGACAGTTGTTTTTTTTTTTTTGTTTGTTTTTTGCGCGCGACCCAAAAACCATTTTAAATTCATCTTGGGTGGTCAATTGTGTCATCTTTTTAAAATGAAACCCTTACCATCTCCTAAAACGAAGGTGCCATCACATGAAATGACAGCCAAATTGAGTCTGAATTAAGATTTGTTTTTTTTAAAATCTGTAAACGTAGATTTAAAAATGTAAAGGAATCACCAAAAAAAAAAAAAGTTGTGAGTGTTTCAGGACAGGATTCGTTATTTTGTCTTTATGGAAGGGCTTAGGAATGTGCATTGAGGATGGCTGTAATTTATTTTAAAAAAAATCACGTCTAACTTTCCGCGTAGTTCATATTTAAGTCTCCAGTTACCGTTTTTACAATGGTTATCGTCAACTAGCCAACTGATTTTTGAAGTGAGCAAGCATCAAAAGAAGGCTTTTTTTTTTTGGTTTGTTTTTTACAACTAGTGGACTCACCATACATACTACTTTGGACGAGCAAAAATTTCTGAAAGAACAAAGCATCAGCTGTCACACTGAAATTACGGCCTGAACTATGACTGTGTTTGACGAACATAAACAGGAAGTAGCTGTGAGTTGAAGGAATACCACCAGGGAGTATTAAGTCTCGAGGTCTATCACTTTTTCTTCGCTAGTGGTCAGTTTTGTTTGGGGTTTTGTTTTGACATACGAATGACCAAACAATCATTCTTCCCAGAGATGTCTGCAGATTTTATAATTATGGTTCCCGGTTCTTGTGGCACATCTGAGTGACACTTGAAAGGTTGTTTTCTTTTGATCATGGCAGACTGAATAATAATTTGCATCTTCTTTGCTCAATCTTCAGGAACTGGATGAAGCATTGAAGATCTGTAACTACATCTTCACTCTCATCTTTGTTCTGGAGTCAGTCTTCAAATTGGTGGCTTTTGGCTTTCGACGCTTCTTTAAGGACAAGTTAGTATTTGAATGAGCTGTCAGCCACCCCTGAATGGATGTGATGATTTTGTCCGGGCGCTTCCGAGACCTCTTAAGTATTTGCTGTTGATTGAAACTTTGGGGTTTTGACAACACGACTCGAACAGATTGATGGTCACTTAATTTTTTTTTTCAATAGCTCATCAGAGGATTGTTGAAGCCTGTATGAAAAAAAAAAAAAAAACACCTCATAAAACACCCATAAAACAAGCTGCCTGGAATGATTTCATAACTTTGAAATCTCTGGCTAAAAAAAAAAACCAACACAGCACGGATGCATGAACACACACACACGCGCGGCCGCATATCTCATTCAGAGAAGTACTGTGGAGGTATCGTGATTTTTGGAACAGGTCTCCCGACAAGGACGTCATGTCCATTGTTCGCCAGAGCAGAGCGCCTTCAGCTATGGTCAACTGATACAATATGCTCAAACGCAAGAAGCGGATACACCCGATTAGCACAATGAGCCACCATTAGCGTCTCTAACTTTTTGCATATTTATCTGGTTTCAATCATCGTGTCTTTGAAGGAGTTCAGAGAAAACAGGCAGTCAGCTGTAAATGCAACGGCCCGCTCTGGGAAATAGAAAGGATACAATTCTTATCGAATTGTAATTGGCCTTATTACTCTTGAATCCGAAATTGTTCATAATTGAATCACATAAACTATTTGGGGTTTTTTCAAATAAATTTGTGCAGCTGAACCAAGAATAAAAAAAAAAAAAAAAAAAAAAGAACCCTTTCAGGAATCAGCGGTGACTACAGTGGACAGTTTATTAAGGTTATCAGGTTACAGGTTATCCTTATTGGTGCATGAAAGGGTTAATCTATTTCTATCTAATCAAAACCCCTTTTTTTTTTTTTTTTCTTCAAAGTAAAAATGATGTGATTGCATGTGTGTAGGTGGAACCAGCTGGATCTGGCCATCGTGTTGCTCTCCATCATGGGCATCACTCTGGAGGAAATCGAGGTCAACGCTTCACTGCCCATTAACCCGACCATCATCCGCATCATGAGAGTCCTGAGGATTGCACGAGGTAGGAGCTCACAGCCTCCAGACCTTCACCCCCCCACTTACTCACTCGCTCGCGGTTCAGTGATTTTAAGATGTCTTTGTAAGACGTCCGCCTCCCCGGGAGTTTCCCCTCTTTGTCATTTTTATATTACAGGTCTCAGCATGGTTTGGGTTGGGTGAGAGCCGAGCAGATGGCACTGACGAAAACAGCCAGCTGACTAACCGCAATCAGAGAGTCAAGGGTGGAAGTTAAGGAAAGCGTAGTTGGGAAGAGCCGTGACGCGTCGCGGCAGACGGCGAATGAAGCTGCAATTCACGGCGACTGTAGGGGGAGACGATGTCGTAATAAATGAGGAGGGGCAGAAAGAGAAGGCTGACAGCAGGCTGATTAACAACCCCTGAACTTAAAATAGATTACGAGATGAAGTGAAAGAATCCAGAGAGGAGCAAGGGGAAAAAGTTGAGATAAAAGGAATTAGGGGGAGGGGGATGCATGAATGGGAGCTACAGAATCTCGGGGAGCATGAGAGTGCATACCCGAAGAAAGAAGACGGAGATGCAGTATGAGGTAATTGCATTAGAAGAAAATATTGAAGCAGCAATGTTGGGCAAGTTACTTCCGAAATCTCATTTCATTTGGAACACCAATCGGTGGATAGAACAAAAGAGGACACTAAGGCAAATGCAATTCCATCCAAAATACTACAAGCTCAAAATCGAAGCAAGCACCAAAAATAATAGGATGTCTGCCTTTGCATCAAAATTTGTACTCGCCACACATGTTGGGAAGGAACAAGGTAGAGCATAGCATGGCCTACTTTTAAAGATGAACATGTACAATCACATTAGTAATACAGATTGAATACAGAAAAAAAAAAACACCAGCATGGATCAAGCACTCGGAATCACTGTAGAAATCAATTCATTGAACGGATTATAAATATTAGCATCTTAAAAATATTTTAATAGCGCCCCTTCATTATAATGTGCGTGCAGAGGGAGAGAGGGTTGACACACAAACACAATCGGGGCGTCCGCGTCACATGAATGGCCGATTACGTCATCCGCAAGGGAAGGGGCTCGCAGTTCACCATCAGGCATCGGGCCCAGTGGGTCTATTTATGTTCACGCAATGTCAAGCACAGGCAGCGTGCTCGGGCATGTTGCACTCGGAACGCCCTGATTTTGATGCCAAATGATTGACGCCCCGTTATGCCCCATTCGATCGCCGCAAAGTCTCGCAAAAGAAAGAAAACTCCACCTATGCGCTCTTGGGCCCTATGTCTGTGTTTTCCATCACTGTGTGCTATGTTGATGAAAAATATTTATTGACATAGCTGTGGCGTGTTGGAGGATCGTGTTTATTACCACACTTGACTGTAATGTACCTTGGTTTTACCTTGGATACACTCTGCCCCGTCTGTGCTGTTCTGAGAGCCGCATGTGGCAACGTTTACTTATACGAGCTCGAAATTGCTATTATTCACTCGCTTGACGTCATGTTAATGCGTCACGTGATGATGAACTAGGTAGGCCTAAATACAAAATAAAAAAAATAAAAAATCCCAGCAAGTGAGGTTTTTGGTTCCACACATTCGGGTCTTATACCGCGACCTCGTGCCAAAAATCATTAAGCCGCAAGAGCACTCAGAAAGTGCAGACCTCTGCCAAGGCATTAACACTTGTCACCTGCAAAATCAATGAGTGAGCAACCACGGTCCAGCATCTTAATGGCTTAAAGGGAATAAAGTTTCATTCTTCTGGAGAGAACGGAATGTAATTAAGAAGGGGGGAAAAAAAAAAAAAAACAGAAGTGCAACAAATTACAGCCTGCTTGTATTTGACAGCTATATAAGGTTAAATGGGATTTCGATCAAAATGACTCCCCAACTGGCTCAGATGCAAACTTGAAACGATGTAAAAAAAAAAAAAAAAAAGAAAAAAGAGAGAGAGGGAAAAAAAAAGCATCCTCTCTGGTAGAGGTAATTAAAGGGAGCTCATTAGACATCTTAATAAAGAATGTGTTTAGATAAAGAAAACTGCAAAATCTCAGCGGTGCAATCACAATGATGCTGCTGGAAGGCTGTTTAACATTATATTGATGCCGGATGCATTTTTCCAAACTTTTTTTTTTTTTTTTAAATGAGAAATCACATTCCAAAATGTGGAGAGATCGCAAGATGAATATACTTTGTTTGTGTCAGCAGTATTGTTAGTTTTATCATGAAGTAACACTGTAATTGTTTCAGCAAGCGCTACCGACCTGCATGCCAAGATCTCATTATCTGAACATGCCGATGATACCTGCACAATGTTTATTTTGGGGTCTTTACTGTGTAGAGGGCTGACCTCCGCTTTCATGACTCATGGAGGTGTGGTTTTTTTTATCTTGTTTGTTTGTTTTTTTTTAATAGCACCATTATTCCCTCCACTCATCACACTGGCGTCAACCTCGCCACGTTGTGCGTATCTCATCTCCCCTTAGATACTACGAGCACCGTTTTGTTGTCATTTGCCGCATAATTAATAGATTTCGGTGTACAGTACTCGATTGCCGCAAGATCCGATGTCTTTCCTTCAAGATAGCTTGGAAACTTGAATCAAAGAATACCTCGACGACGACAGCGTTTGTTTGTTTGCCTGCAGTACTGAAGCTCCTCAAGATGGCGGTGGGGATGCGGGCTTTGCTCGACACCGTGATGCAAGCTCTACCTCAGGTACGTTGCAACCGCTGAACCTGCTTTTTTTTTTTTTTTTTAATTTTTTTATATATAATGTTTAGAGGATTAAGGCGTGCATATTCATTGTGATTTGTTGCCCAAATGAGTCAGCGAATGCAGGTGCAGAGGCTTTGCTGGCGGTGGCTTTGAAGGTGTTTCAGTTGGTAATTTGGAAGGGGGTGGAAAAAACAAAAAACGTGCGAGAGAATAACGCCGCCCGATGTTCACGGTCCTCTTTGATACTGCTGCCTCTTGTAATTCAAAGTCAATCGGCAGTTCTATAAAAAAAAAAAAAAAAAATGTCCTAAGCTTGTCAACATTAATATAATTGATAAATCGTTCTGAAGGGGGGGTTGGCATCTTACCTTGGGTTAATTTGCATCATAAAACATTCCTAAAAAGTTGCTTTACCAAAACCAGTGATGTCACATCTGCTGTAGTCTTTGGACACGTAATGATTACTTCACATTTTCTTGGCTGCTTTCCCTCTCATTTTCTCACCGGAAAGACATGTTTCTATATACCTGTATAGTATTCCCACCTATGGACTTCTATCAAACGGAAATTCCCTCACCTGGAATACAAACGCGCATTAAAATTTCGACTACAATATTGCATTTAACGATCGATTCATAACACCGGATGTTCCGCTACCCGGATCCCGGAAGCCATACGGAAGCCTTCAGTAGCGCAAACTCAAGCAAGTCCCACTCGATACTACGGAATAAGTGTGTCCGCGCCGCTATTTACTCTCATTCGATCCAAAATGGCGACATGTAAGTGACTCTATTAGCATGAGTTTTGTGGCTCGATGGACAGTCAAGTAAACGAACGTTTCCCGGAATGCTTTACCTGTTATCGTGCTGAAAACCATCCGCTAACTGGACCGCTAATTAGACATAAGGCGAGTTCCATAGCGCCTACTATGGGCATGGAGGACTACGAAGCGCCCGGTGGCTGGCTTCAAAAGTTCGTAGCACGACTTCAGTTGCGCAGCGCTGTCTTGTGTGGTGATCCAGGGGAGGTCAAGTTAGAGACGGTGAGTGAGTTTAAAGAAAAACCACCAGGTGTGTTGCTAGTCTCATTTTGTAGCAGATAATCCTAATTTTGTAACACGTCTTGTTACATTGTTCATATACCTGTACTGTATGCTGCTTTGTATTATAAACAGTTTTTGGAGCATATATTGCAGTATTTTGTGAACATACTTGAATGTTCATAAAGGACATTTACCATATTCGTTTCCCACATAAGGAAATTCTGTTAAAAGGAAAGATTGGACAACGCAAATGTGATTCCTTACTCGAGAATACTTTGCTGTATATTTTTTGCCTGTGTTACTGGTTTATTTTTGCCAAGGAATTCCGTCATCTGCCAAATCCGTTTTGCTTCCTGTTTTCACTCCGCAGGTGGGAAATCTGGGTCTTCTCTTCATGCTCCTCTTCTTCATCTTTGCAGCCTTGGGAGTGGAGCTGTTTGGTGACTTGAGTAAGGACACTTGATGCTGCATGTTGATCTTAAAAAATAAAAAAAAAAAATAGCTTCTTTTCATGTGTCCTCCTCCGTCCTCTTCCCAGTTTGCGATGAACTCCATCCTTGTGAAGGCCTGGGACGCTATGCGACATTCAAAAACTTTGGGATGGCGTTTTTGCTGCTCTTCAGAGTTTCGACTGGGGACAACTGGAATGGCATCATGAAGGTGAGACAAACAAATTTGCAAATGGAGCAACACGAGAGACAGTTTTAGTGTATTGGTCGATTGCCCTGAGGAACGTTGGCCCGAGTATCCATACGCATTGCATTTTGGCTCCTTTTCTGACCGCTGCTGACTTTGCATCACTTTTGTTGCCAGTTTAAGACATCCACCGAGATTTTTTTCCCCTGCCTCTTTTGTATTAGCTTATATACTCTAGCATGCTAATTTTTAAAATAATATATCAACCTTTTGTTTTTTCGGGGGGCTTGCAAGCTCATTCGGTCGGTTGAGAAAATCTGATTCTTTCTTGTAAATGTGAATCAGCAGTGGTAAAAAGAGTCAAGATGAATCATGAATGACATCAAACGGTCTTAAAACGTAAAAGATCGGTTTGTCCAAACAGCAGAAGGGAAAAAAAAAAAAAAAAGAGTGCAACGTTTGCACGGATATTAGCGCCGACTCAACATGGCGGTTGTCTGGGAACCACGATCAATACGCTGTCGATGGTTTTCGATCACATGATCGGTGTTTGCATGTTCGGGTTGAAACGGAAAGAATAGTTAAGTGACTCCTTTGCATTTTTCTTTGTTTTTTTTTTTTCTGTATAACCCTCATCAGTGATCAGTCGACCAATGTGCTGATGTTCTTTTTTTTTTTCTTTCTTTCTTTCATTCTTGTTCCAGGACACTTTAAGAGATTGCGCCCATGAGACCAGTACCTGCTACAACACCGTTGTCTCTCCCATCTACTTTGTCTCCTTCGTCCTGACCGCTCAATTCGTCCTGGTCAACGTCGTTATCGCTGTCCTGATGAAACACTTGGAAGAGAGCAACAAGGAAGCCAAGGAAGAGGCGGAGCTAGAGGCGGAGTTAGAGCACGAGTTCCACGGTGACGGGGGAGACGTGGCAACAAGGTCGCCCCAGCTCAACCCTCTCACACTGGGCATGGACAGGTCCAGTTCTGGGGGTTCCCCGTGGAGGTCCGCCGGAGGTGGGGACTCACCAACTGTCGATATCCCCAGAGACCCAGTAAACATCCGAGAAGAGCCTCCCTCGTGCCCGGAACCACTTCCGGAGGTAAGAAAAACATTTGATGGTGCATCCGTGTGGAAGCTTTTTAGGAGCATCAGCAGGAGGCCCTTGAAAGCAAAATTATGCGCACAAAAAAAAAACAGAAAAAAAGAAAAAAGCGGGGCCGTCCATAATTACATAATCCCAAAAGCCATTTTGAATCTGGAATGCTGGTTTACATTCAATGTATCGTTTCAGTATTGCTGTCGAAAAAAAAATGCAATAAATAAAAAGAATCAAAAAGATATCGATATTTGGCCTCCCTGATGAGGCGAACTCGATGAGCTGGAGCGTTGTCATCCATGAAGATGAAATGAGCCCCTTGCAAGCGCGAATAGCCATTTTTCACTATGTTGCATCCTCCTCCGCTGTCTATTCGGGTTTTCCGGTTCGTGTTTGGCTCTCCTTTGGTCCCCGCGGAGGGCGTGCCACCAGTCAAAGCCCAGGTCAGAGTGCCATGGGAAAGCTGGACCACATGGCCTTTTTCTACGCCTGAGCTGCTATTTGCAGCCAACTTTGGGGGATAGGAAATAAGACATCTTGCCATCCCGGTGTTTCCCCCTTTCAAGGGTTCTTCCTAAAATAAGATGGCTCTGTGGTTAAGAAAGTTTCTTGGGATGGGAATTCTACTGTGATCTTGGAGTGCCGTCTTGTGGCGGGCGCAGTCGTAGCATCACCGGGGGTTGTTTTTTTTTTTTTTTCTTCTCCCCTCACGCGATGTCACTTTTATCTATTTCTGTCTGATTAACTGTCGTTTTCTTTGTTTGTATTCATTCTGTCTCCTCGCATTTATTCTTGTCCCCTCTGCTTCTTTCTCTGCCTTTCCCCACCCGCCTCACTTCTCTCTTCCTTCTGCTTTATTCAAGTTGGTCCAGCAAAGAGCGCAGTTTGACTCGGTTTCCCTGCTCATCCGGGGTTCAATGGAAGGGGAGCTGAGTTTGATGGACAACTTGTCCGGCTCGGTGTGCCACTACTACGCGCTTGCCCCCAAAGCCAGCAAGCACAACCCGGACAAAAAGGTCAATAGATCACCAAGAAATCCAAATGTCTGGGTTTTGTTTGTTTTTTTTTTTTTGTTTGTTTTTGTCAAACATTTTGGGATGCACAAAACAAGAATTGATCGTTGAAAAGAAATCATGATGCATATGATTGTCTCCATACTTGTGCATTGTTTTTTTTTTTTTTCCGTCAAGCTTGTGAATGGATGGAAATGGTCTTTAAGTGTCACCGTTCGATCAAACTGCGCTCACAGAAGAGGTGTCTTCTCTCATCTTGCTGAAATTATTAGTAGCTTTTCAGATATGACCTTGCCTCACGGTTAAAATTGTTTTTTTTCCCCATGTATTGACCCGTTGATACAACTTATTGAGACCATGTGATATTATCTCACTCCTTTTGGCAAATCTTCGTGGTTTATGAGCATTTAGCGAACGAATGTCCGAAAGACTTTTTAGACTCCGCAGGATCTCCGTTAAGCAGGAAAATATTTCCGAAAGGGGGAAAACAAGGACATATTGTCCGTAGATTTTTTTTTTTTGGGGGGGGGGGGGGTAAGAACAGCGTGTCATGTTATGTTTGCCAAATATCATGCCGCCCAAGAACCCATTACCATTTTTGTCCTGGAATTCCTCCACGTTTAATAACTTTTAACCAGCGCACCCTGTAGTTGAGCACCGCATGGAATCTCAGCCGTGATCTCATCCCCCTTCACTTGCAAGACTCATTCCATCATGCTCGACGGACTCACAGTTTGTGCATCCTCTGTCTGTTGCAAGTTGCAGTGGCCGCTTTGGCTGTTGTTGTAAAAGTTACGAAAGCCCACTCGAGATTTTTCTTCAATTCTGTTGTTTTGAGTTCTGCCTGTGGTCTGGTATTCGATCCAAACTCCATTGAGCACTAAGTAACTAAATAATGGATCACATCTGATGGTTGAGAATCTCTCACAGAGCTACTAGCGCTGAAACCTCCTCTTAGATTTATTAGTAAGTAGTAGTAGTATTTTTTTCAATAGTGGTTTAAAACGTGTTTTGTTTTTTTTTTTGCCTTGGCAATAGACTAAAGAGCTCCTTCTAAAGGCAAGAGACTAAATAACTCATTCCAAAGCCCGGGTGTCAAACTCAAGGCCTGGGGGCCAAATCTGGCCCGCCACATCATTTTATTTGGCCCGCCAAAATAAATTATGCGCACTTCGGTTCTTGCTAAAATACCAAACTGTCTTCACAAAAATGGCGATCTTGCAAAAAAGCGAAACACACATGGAGAGGTCGATTTTATGAGGCAGCCTTCCCAACTATGACTTTGGAGGTGCATTTCCATTTCCAAACCTTCCACGATCCCATCCTGTCGGGGAAACATCCAAGTGCGCCAATCATTTTGTCCGCGTCCCCCGTTTTTCATACTGAATGTTTCTCCGCTTTGCTCGTATCTGTTGTTCAAACGCGTCGCGCCAATTGCTCTGGTTTGATGTCACCTTGGTGTTTGTGTGGATTTGCTTTCTCTGCTCACCCGCCACTTGTCTCTTCCTGTTTAGATTCCTCTAGCTGAGATGGAAGCTCTGTCTCTGGCCTCAGAGAAATCCTGGTCCCTAGCTCTGACAGAGGAATCGCTCGCTGACGATTTTAATCCCCTCTCCCTAAGCAGCCTGGAATTCAATGTACTGACAGTTCCTTTTTTTTTTTTTCTTTCTTTCTTCATACCTGCTCCCCCTCCTCCTCCCATTTGCAGTATCCTGTAGTCGTGTTTCCTTTCCAGGGTATTCCAAAGCCACTTGCCCACTTCACCGCCCTTTCCACGGCTCACGCGTCATAGGCGCAGCGACTGGGTGCCAACTTGTTAAAACGTTGTTAAAACCCAGATGTGTCTCGGCGCACCTAAAACGACACCTCAATCGTTCAACTCATGGCTATGGCAAAAGTTTTTTACTGTCCAATCAAATGGAAGTGCGTAGCCTTGAGGTTTGTACAATATAACACGCCCTTGCAATAATCATTTGGAGGTAATAAGTCATTTCGAAACCATCGCGAAATGAGCATCATTCAGGAAATCATTCAAAGCGTCTCACAGAGACGGGCGCAAAATGCTTTTTGAAAATGTAGTTCAATGCGTGGAAAAGTAGTAGGATGTCATTTTCAGAATTAAGTTGGAATGTGGATTTAACAGATGTGGTACGGTTTTCAACATCGGTCCTCGTAAAAGGCAGCTTTCACGTCGTCGGACAGCAAACGTGTGTGCGGGGGGGGGGGGGGGAAACATTTGGAAGCAGTTAGCGACCTTGGCAAGGAAGTCACACTGACGATGTCATACAACAGACCTGACGTTTTGATTTCCCCAATTGTGACTGTTGCCCAACCACTTGTGACTTTTCATACAAATTTCCTCTTATATTTGGACTTTATTCTTTTAAAACCATGATTTGTTATTAAAATATGACTCTTTCTGGATCACAACCTCCCCTACATAATATTGTGGCTTTATTTTTGTATGACTGCACATTTTCACATTTTACAAATTCTCATCCGCACCTGAACAATTTTAGTGATCCACGAGAAATTCGTACGTTCGCGTGTACATTCCCACCCGAAAATTGTCGCTTCTCTTCCTCCAGCGGTCACTCGAACCTTGGTCCGTACTGCATTCTGGCTAAGCGAAACATTTGAGTCCATATTTTTTTTTTTTTTTCAATAAAAGCCTCAGCCAGCACATGACATGAAATCACTGTTAATTCGATTGTGCCAGACAGGCAGCAATGAAAATGGCCCAAAAAATAATAATAAAAATGGGGAAGTCAAGGGCTATAAGTGAGAATGGAAGGCCTTTGTGAATCTAACCATGAGTCTCCCACCTCCTTTCCATCTTTCCAGCCCGATGTGTGCTCGTGCAGTAGAGTAGTGCACTTGGCAGTTTAAGGCCTTTTTTTTTTTTTTTTTCCCCTCTCGAATCTCCTTCCACGTTTGTTCTTATTTTCTCCACTGCGCTTTTCATGTGAGTCCGTGTTTTTCCCCCCGCCCCGTCACGATTCTCTCTCCTGTCAATGTCGTGTTTTGGTCTCCCCTTTGTCTATACTGTCTTGGAGTGAGCACCCGTGGGCCGGGCTGCAAGATACCTGCCCCAGCTTGACAGCAAGATCATACCTTTAGCTCCAGTTGAGCTTGCGCTTTATCGAAGCTGCTTTTGAAAAATTCGGTTTGCAAAGATTTCTGTGACCTGCGGCAGCTCTGTTCCAGCCACCTTTCTAACATTTGTTTCCCGTGTTTGCCGAAGCCCGCCGCCTCTTCGTTGATTGTCCTCTAAACGATTAAGATTCAGCCGCCCATCTCGCATCGGAAAGTTGACTTCTCTGTGATCTGACAGGCCGAGCAGCCCGACCCCGGCGAAGCCCTCGAGGACAACCTGCTGAGTGTCAGGAAGCCCGCGGTGGGACGCACGCACTCCCTACCCAACGACAGCTACATGTTCTTCCCCCAGCAGGCCTTTGGCAAGCCCGTTGCAGCTTCAGCACAACTTCTAGCACAGACGCCTCTACCCCAGCGCGTACTAGGCTCCCATTGGGCCCAGTCAGGTAACACCGGATGCAATATTTAGCGCCCTTAGATTGTCATATTGTTAAGACACAAACATATTTGCAAGATTTTTTTTTTTTTTTTTTTTAACGAATGTATTGATTTCAACCAATGGTGAATATTCAAAAGTCTGAATTTATGAATAATTCAAATTTGGATGTCTGGTGAGTGACAGTATTATTATTATTATTTTAATGCATCAAGAAAACTTGCCGTCTTTTGGTTTCCAGGCTCCAGGGGTTCAGTGCGTTCCCAACCTGAAGAATTTTCCCAACGACTGACCATCCCCACCGACCTCTTCAGACCCATCAGCCCCCACAGCCACTCGGACTCTGAAGGTATCCCGCGACTACCCCCTCCCAGACGCACGCACGCCGTGAGCCGCAAGCTCCGCAGACAGGTGACCCAACTGGCACTGCTGCACACCTCTTCCATTCATGCCTTTGGGATGATTTGAACCTTTCATGAAGGTCGCATTTGACTTTTCTCGTGCGGCGACTGGATTTAAGTGACATACGCTGTGTTTAACCACAAGTTAAGAGGTTGTGTGTGTGTTCTTGTACTTATGACATTGTGAGGACCGGCATGAGTTTTTAAACCAAGAGTGAGGACTTTGTAGGCCTTTTTTTTTTTTTTTACTTGGTCCTGACTGTGCCACAAGTACAAGTGTGTGTGTGTGAGAGACTTTTTCAAACTCAGACTGCAGAAGATTTCAGTTCAGGGCCAAAGGATTGGTAGGGTCACCGTAAAACATCGTTTGCCAGATAATCGTAATAATGAAGTCCTTTTTACTGTTTCACAACAAGTGCGGTTTGGAGAAAAGAGGAAGCTACATTATCAGTACAAACAAATGCATTGAAAACATTTTGATTTCCTGTTTTTTTTCTCATTCTAAATGGTGTCAATTCCCTCTTCCCCTTCCTCCACCCCATCCTCCCCCTCACGGATTCGTTAACTCATTTATTTTATTTGTTTTTTTTTTTAATTTCCATACTGTATCTGTGTTATGATCTGACCCCAGCTTAGTTGGGCCCAAAAACCGCCTGAACCAGAGCTCCTGCTCAAGGACAGATACTCCTGTTTCTGAAACAGTGAGCGAGTTTAAAAAAATAAAATTAAAAATGGATTGAGCTACCATTTGGCCTTTCAGGAACGCCGAACTACATATGTTCATATCGGCGAGAGTCAGAGCGACTTAGGCGTTTGCAGGCTTCAAATATTGAGAACACCGCCTACAAATAGACCACCGAGTTATCTGAAATGTATGACAAAGTTATCATGACAGGGTGACTGCATTTCTTTCTTTCAAAACAACAAAAAGAAGTGCTGTCCAAATGCGATGCATTCAGTCATTGTCATGGAGCACTCGAGATTTTTGGGCGGGGCTTGACTAGTCACCGTTCATGTAAAATTATCCGACAGGGTAATTTGTGAAAATTAGCATTGTTTTAGAATGCATCATGGACAGTATTTACTCTAGTTATCATGCGTTCGTCCAGTCTGGGTATCCTGTTCCTGGCCACTAGGTGTCTCTATTGTGCCACATTTAATACGTATGACTTTTTGAAAAAAGTCTTATCTCCGAAATTCATTCGAGTCCTGCTTCCTCACCTCTCCACGGACGATTTGAATCGAAACATGATTGATATCTTATTAAAGCCAGTCTGTGATCGATTGAGGATTAGAAGCCGTCATCAGGTATTGTTGTCACGTCACGAACACGTTTGCTGCAACAATTAACACGCTGTTGTCACCTTTTGATCAAACGTTGCCGGTGCAGTTTGCAGTTGTGTGTGAAAGTGAAAGGGTAGTGAGGCATGTGGTCTGGTTCAGAGTTCACGGGATCATCTGGCAAGAGTTTTTTCGGCATTGAAAACGTCGTTCGCACATTTAGGGAAGATCATTTTTTGATTGACAAAAGAGTCAGGCGTCAAATTATATTCCATTCTAAGTTTCCAATCTTGACTCAGGCCCTCCCGGTGTGACGTTTCCATGCTTGTGTGACTCCAACGTCCACTCAAATTTCCAAAACATCCATGTTCTCCAAAATGGTGTATTTAAATTGTGCAAAGGTTAGAAATTGAGTGTGAACGGTTATTATTCTACACTATGTGGCTTCTGATCGACTGGCAATTTGATCAGGCCGGCTCCAGCTCACCCTAAAAAGGTCAAGTGCTATAGAAAACGGATGGATGAATACAAGTTTACTGTCTGGAATATTTAGCGACGATATTGATGTGCCAAATAGCAACAAAAATGTGTGAAAAGATTTTGAGTAAATTTAGCGTGTTAAGTGTAACGAATACCAAAGTCGCTTTGTTGAATCAAACTTTTGTTCGTATTGAGACCGCTTAAAGAATGATCATTTGCTCAACGTGCCCCTCGAAACGAGACTCTGCTTTCTGCTGGTAGACTCGGAGAGCCATTCCCAGTCGCTTCCATTTTTTTTTTTTCTGTGTGAAAACTAGTCGAACAGGGAGAAGAATTGTCAACCAATTCACTCTAAATTCACAATATAACCTTTGAGCGTCCGGATTTGAATGGAATTGAATACAACTTTATTCTCTTGGCATTTCGCGCTACGCGGCGTAACTGTTGTAGCGCTCTGTTTCATGAACGGCTGCAACGACTCCAGCGATCCTTTCCTCAGATTACAATCGCAGCATATCTGACCAGGTTGTGAACTATGAGCCAAACTACGACTTGTCACCCTCATCCGCTCACGCTAACCACTTTCCCCATCTCATTTCTAATCCCATCCCGTGGCCTCCTTCCAAATTCCCCTCTCATTACACTTTTATCTCCAACGTCCTCACCCTTACTCCCCCAACCCCACCCCGTTCTCCGTCTTGCAGGTCGCAGTGTCGACAGAGTCGCAGGAGGCCCTGTGTTCAGATGGAGGGGAAAGCAGTGAAGGACTTGCGAACGTGGCTTCTCCGGGCCTCCCTCCGTCCTCCTCTGGCTCCTCTTCCTGCTCCTCCACCTCCTCACCCTTCCCCTTCTCGCAGCAGCAACAGCAGCCAGCTCTCCATCTGGTCCCCGCCACACCTGGCGCCTCCCCGAAACCTTCGCGCACCAGCAGTGCGCACACCCAGCTACGCGACCGGGACCCCCTTGACTCCCGCTCGCCCCGCTCGTCCTTACCACCGACGTCGCAGCAACAAAATCGGGCCTCCGTGGATCAGGAAGTGTCTCAAATTACTGCGGGAGTGTTGACAGGAAGTGATGACATCACGGCACCGGGTGACAAACGAAGCAGCGGCAGCGACATTGGAACGAAAGAGGCTAGCGAAAACAATGCGGACTTCCGAGAAAGTGGCAGTTCTTGTTTGAGGGCGTTGAAGAGGTTTCATAGTGTTGACACGCAAGGCCGTAGCATTCTCCTGCCCCGCCCCCGCCCCCACTCCTGGTTGGACGACCCACGTCGCCACTCGGTGGAGGTTTGCTCCGCGGTGGAGTCCGGCCCCCAGTGCAGCGCCACGTCCACTTCCTCTGGTTTCGTGTCGCAGGCTGACAGTCTGCAAATCCACAGCCAGACCTCCACTCAGACTTCACAGCCCTCGCCCCGACGGAAGAAGAAGATGAGTCCTCCCTGCATTTCTGCGGAAGCCCCCGATGGATCGAAGCCCCAGTCCAGCCTCTACCCTGCTCTTGGTGGCTTAGGGTTGCCCCCTCCCCTGCCCAATCGGGACACCTGCCTGAGGAGGCGAGCGCTTTCCAGTGACTCCAAGGACTCCTTTGACCTCGGGGTCGGAGAGGGTTCAGGGCCGGATCGTGACTCTCCAAATCCCAACGCCAACCCCAAGCTACTGACACTTCCCGGTTTATCCTTTGAGAAGACGAGCTCGGAGCACTGATTCACAAAAAAATACACGCATAAAAACTCACCACAAGATGAAACACAGACACCGATGCACTTTGTGTATCTCTGGTGGTGATAGAACTAGTAATAATGCTGTAGAGAGTAATAATGTTTAAAAAAAAAAAAGCATCTTTGGTTCCTTTTAGGAGCAGTGCTGTCATAGTGTTCCCGGCCTTTGTTTGTATTGGTATTTAATATTATGTTTTTTACTGCCAATACAATAAGACAGGAAAACTAATAACACATAGGATCCCGCCCCGCCCCGCTACACTCGCATGCCAATGGCTGCAGTTTGATCCAGTCACCTCTGGAGTGACGACATGAAATGACACGCAGTTGACGTTAGAACTTTTTGGTGTTTCACAGGGTCGACTTTGACCATTCATTTGGAGGTACAAAGCAATATGAACGTTTTAGAGGCACTATTTTCTTAAATTATTGGGCCATAATGTTTATGCAGGGCATTGTTGCATTTTATTTTGTTCTGTTTTGTTTTTTTTTCTTCTTCTTCTTCAATGCCGGCCTTTGGATCTAAATGGTTTATCTTTGGCTTTATTCCACTCTAGTTTTTTTTTTTTTTTAGCTTTCTTGGTTTATTGAGAAAAGTGAACCATGTACAGTATTTGGAGGGAAAAAATATCTATCTCTCATCTCTCTCTCTCTCTCTGAATAGGATGAGTCTTAACCTCCATGGCAGAGGCTCCGTTGAACCCCCGAGACAGATTCACTGAACCCTGAGGGTTCGATCGAACCCAGGTTGAGAACCACCGATCTAGATAGAGATGTCGATCTATCTTTACATCTAGATAGAGACGTCTCTCCGTCTAGATGTAAAGATGGATCTATATTTTTTTCCGACAAGTACGTGGTGCAAATGTTAATTTTCATTGATTATCTTATTCTCCCAAATCAATACAAAGCTGAAAAAAAGTGTTTTAAATGCTAAATTTGATCATGATTTTTTTTTTTTTACCATGGCCCGGTGGTCGACTGGTTAACGCGTCGTCCTCACAGCGCAGAGGTGCAGGGTTTGATCTCGGCTCCGGCCTTACGCCACACCACAGTTCGAACTTTAACATTGTTCGGACATTGTTTAAAAAAAGTTGAGGGTTGTGGGCGGCGGTATCAATTTGTGTTTTACTTGTGTGATGCTGAAAATGATAACAAAAAGCACATTATTTCACGTTCCGCCTCATGAACCTAATTCTATCGTATTTATTTATTTTTCAGAATAAACACTTATTTAAACTTGTATTCCTGAAACACATTTCATTTCAAAAGAATGTTGCCTCCATACAACGTGTATGTCTATATATATGTATATATTTAAACGTTTTTAGCCAAATAAAAATAACTATCTTCATCTTGATGAGAATATGACCAGACTATTGAACAGCACCTTCCTAGCTTGATGTCATAAAAGCGTTCAGGCTGCTTCCCAATCTCGCAAGCAGGGGCGCGCTTAACAAGAGGCAGAATTGCTCTCGTGATTTTGAAGTGCGACGTTTTTGCCCAATCCAAATTCCGAACTTTCGTAACGTTCCTAATCTTTAACCGACAGTATTCTCCCAGAGGGAAGTATTGAATTGTATCTAGTGCTTCCCCCTTTGACTTTTCTCGTCTCAGCTCGTGGGCCACCCCCACTCCAAATTGTCCTCAAGTTGAGTGGACCAATGTATTCACGCCCTACGAAGCTATCAATAACAATGATTGATAATGGTGTTGCCACTTATGAGCAGTGTTGAAGCCTCTTGACAAAAATTAGCCTGATTTCAACCATATCACGATTCAGTCGGCATATACCGTGTGCACCTTTTATGAAACAACTTATGTTACGTCCTTCCAGGAGCATCGAGCCTGAAGCGGCCCGCCAGGGGCTCCGACCCGGCCCGTGGGGATCGTCGTCCTGCCTCTCAGTTAAGTTGCCTTCTCAGTGCCAGAAGTGTCGGCACTCGTGTGTTGCGTGCATGTCGCGAGAGGGTTCCAATCTACGCATGCAGTGAGAAACTAAAATGCAACTCCTGTTGAAGCAGTGGCGGTACGCATCATATCATGTGTTGCGTTTGCGAAGTCACTTCAAATGTGTAGTGAAAGACAAGTTTGTGAAGTTATTTTCGAGTAGGGCTGGGCCATTCCGGCAAAAAAATAATAATAGTCGTAAATTATTTTTTCTTTACATTGACGCTGTAGTAAAAGAACGTGATTCGACCTTCATTATTTTAATGAATTAAAAAAAACCATGTATTTATTGAGCTCCCAAAACAAACAAAAAAAAAATTCATAACGGTAGGCAAGTAAAGTAATAAAATACCAGTGAAATATTGATAATGTCGTTAACAAATCTAACAAAACGAAAAACTAAAATGGAAATATTTTTTGTTCAGGAAACAGAAATGCTGAAAAAAAAAAGTAACTCAAATGATAGCTTGGTAAAAATAAAAGTCTTGATAACTCTAGCGAGAATGTCCTTTGTTTTCATCTTTGTCAATTATGCGTTTTTCACCCAAAAAAAAAGACAATGTATAGTAAGGCGTTTTTGGCGCGAAAAAAACGACATAGTATAGTAAGGCGTTTTTGGCCGAAAAAGACGACCATGTAAAGCAAGGCGTTTTGGGCCGAAAACAAAGACCATGAATAGTAAGGCGTTTTTAGCTGAATTAAAACGACCATGTATCGTAATGCATTTTTAGCCGAAAAAAATGACCATGTAAAGCAAGGTGTTTTTGGCCGAAAAAAACGACCATGAATAATAGTAAGGCGTTTTGGGCTGAAAAAATAACGACCATGTACATATAGTAAGGTGTTTTCAGCCGAAAAAAACGACATAGTATAGTAAGGCGTTTTCGGCGCGAAAAAAACGACATAGTATAGTAAGGCGTTTTTAGCCGGAAAAAAACGACCATGAAGAGTAAGGCGTTTTTGGCGCGAAAAAAACGACATAGTATTGTCAGGCGTTTTTAGCCGAAAAAACGACCATGTATAGTGAGGCGTTTTTAGCCGAAAAAACGACCATGTATAGTGAGGCGTTTTTAGCCGAAAAAACGACCATGTATAGTAAGGTGTTTTTAGCACGAAAAAAATGACATAGTATAGTAAATGCCGTTTTTAACCCCCCAAAACGACCTTGTACAGCAAGGCGCTTTTAGCCGAAAAAAACGACCATGTTTAGTCAGGCGTTTTTAGCCGAAAAAAA